CCAGTCACCAAAGCTTCTCCTTCATGATCATATTGTTTGACAGCAATCTGGCTGTACTCAAAGTGATCGTGTTGTGAATAGAAACTTTTGACTTGTGGAGTCTTGAAATGAACTTGGCTCATGTACCATGCTACATCTTGTAGGTCGAGAATGAGATGAGTACTAATGGCTGTCCTCAAAACCATTTTTCTCATGCCAATACGTGCACAGGACAAATAAGCCTTCTCTGGAGTAAGTTCAAATTGAAATCCAAGGTTTCTCATCTGTGGAAGTGACATCAACAATGGGACATCACCTTCTTCGACAATGTCGAATTCTGTAAACTGAGTGTTCCATCCATGATCATACATGAATATCACGAGCTTCTCAGTACATTTTGATTGTTGTGAGTTTGCAAAGAAGAATCTTGAACTTGTTGGCTGAATTTCATACCAGAGTCCACTGTTGGGATGTGAGTCAACATATCTGCAAAATGCTTCAACTGCTCGTCGAGAGCCCATAGCTCTTGTGCATCCAAGATCCAGAATACACACAGTTGGTGGTGCAGAATTCTCTGTGTGAAAAGCTAGTCCATTCTCACATGCCAGATCAGTTTGTACAGTATGAAATGAAAAAGCACTCTGCTGTGATGGTTCCTCTATCTCTGTAGAGCATCCATGTGAAAACAATGATGTGCCTTCTGCCAATGGCTTCCATGAAGCCTCACCTTCTTGAAGACCAACTTGCCTGGGCACTACAGCTGGACGTTGTTGTACACCTTGTCGTAGTGCACCAACTTCTCCAACCAGAACAGGGAATCTCTTCATCTCTCTCCTGTTTTGATGTGCTCTTGCATCACGTTGGTTCTGTCCTCCACGACGAGTGCGTCGTTGTTCATCTTGTGCTGAATACGTGGATGTCAAAACATCAACACGAGCTGGCTCTGTCTCTGCAACATCAACACGTGCTGGTTCAGTTGTTCCAAATGAAAAGAAACCATGACCAGAACTTGAAGCTGCAGAAGAATAATGAGCTTGTTGAGTTGGTTGATTCTGTATGGCAGGAGCTGATGTGGTCTGAGGTTGAACATAGTTCGACTTGCCTTTTCCATCTCCTGGCTTTCCTCCTTTTCCATCATCATCCTTGCCTTTCTTGCCTTTCTTTCCTTTTCCTTTTCCTTTTCCTTTCTTCTGGAAGTATCCATACTCATCCATGTAGTACAGATCATCATAGGCCCAATAGCCTTCATTCCAGGTTTGATCATCGGCCCAATAGCCGTCATAGTTTTCATTCCATTCATCTTCTTGCCATTCATCTTCATAACCTTCTTCACTCACCATGTGAGCACGGCCTTTCCTTCTTCCTTTTCCTCGGCCTTTTCCTTTTCTTGATCTGAAGAACCTTCGTCCTCCTCTGCCTTTTCCTTTTCCTTTTCTCTTTCCTTTACCTTTGCCTCGTCTGATGTATTTGCCTTGGAACCTTCTCTGATACCATGTGAAGTTGGCGTCATCATAAACCCAGAAAACATCTTCTAAAGCATCCAGGAATCCTTCTGCGCCGTCTTCTTCATCTTCGGCCCAATAGCCGTCGGTTCCTTCTAATTCACCTTCATCCAGTACGAGGAAAGATCTTCTCTGTGCCATGCCAGAGGGTTGCATCAATGGATTGTCAACTGCTGTTTTGGTAGTGCAAAACATTTCCAAAAACAGGTCACGTAGTTCTTGAATGTTGTATCGATCGAGGGTTCGTCCACGATGTGTCATGATACTTGTGAGTGTGTTTCTCTGATCTTGACTCAGGTCAGCTAGACTTACAAAAATCAATGCTAGCAAATTTTCACCCAGTGGGAATGCTTGTCGCTGTGCTTCTCTACGATTTTCCTGAAATTGTCTGAATGCCGCTAGTGCCAGTTCATCTGTCCAAGGAACAGCTACATGGGGTGTTCCTGATGCTGCTGCTACTTCAGCTCTCTCTTGTTGATCTCGTTCATGTTCTTGACGTCGTTGTTGAACAAACAGAATTGCTTCAGGACTAGTCACTGTTACTTCTGGAAGTAAATCCATCCAAGACTCAATAAGTCTATTGCCAGTGAGTTGAAATCTAGTCATCCACTTCTGAAGATCCATGGTTCCTCTGTTGAACTTCATGAACTGCATGAAACGGTATAAGAACACGTTTTGGGCACCTTTGATGAAATGAGGTCGTAGAAATCTTTTGAAATAAGCCACTCCTTCATAGGGATCCCTGAGTAATTCTCTATCCAATAGCCTCTTGTATTGTTGAGCATCTCCTTCCAGTCTGTTGCGCAATGCTGGACCACGTTTCTCTGGTTCTAACTCCGTAATGTCACACCAGTCATCAATTGCATCCTCAAAAGCAAAGAAGCTGGTTCGCCCATCATAGGCTGGAGCAACCTTTGTGGTCATCTGTTGCGTCATATGAATCTGTGTATGCTGGGGTGCTCTTCTCATTGCATAAGAGTCATATTGGTTCCATTCATTTGCATCGACAATGTCGAAGTCATCATCATCATAGCCATGGCTTGCCATTTCTTGGGCTCTACCTGGAGCTCACCCTCAATGAGGGATCACTGCTCCGCTACCACTTGAAGAGGGGCCCTAGCGTCTACTTCAAGATCAGCTAAGGCGTCTTCCCCAATGACAGCACTCTTTTACTCTCAGCCTGTTGCCGGTCAGTGCTTGTCTACAGGGTTACTCTATATACCTCTTTCTTGAGCCTTGAAGGCGCATATAAATGTGCTCAATACTCATGCATGTACCTATGTAGGTATTAGGTCGAAACAAAAACAGGGCCCCCCCCTCCCCCCCCATTCGATTCCCCCCTGGTCCGCATTTTTTTCTCTCTCTTTTTCTCTGACTCTGTACCTACCTCCTTATCCATCTATCTATCGATATATCTATCTATCTAGTTGTCCATCTATGTATGTATTTATCTATCTATCCTTGGATCTATCTATCTATCTATCTATCTATCTACCTATTGATCTATCTATTTATCTATCTGTTTATCGATCAAGGTAGCCATCGATCTATCTATTTATCGATCAATGCTTCTATCTCTCTATCTATTTATTCATCTATTTATTTATTTATTTATTTATTTATAGTTTTATCTATCTATCGATCTATCGATCTATCTATCTATCTATCTATCGATGTATTGATCTATCGATCTATCGTGGATGTTCTAGTCCCATTGAGGCCGTGCCGGGGAATAGAGACTCGCAATGTTTACGTCCCGCACATGCGTGCGCTCGCGCGCGCGCGCGGCGCGCGCGGAGAAGCACCTGCATGCAGGATGGTTCACGCGCGCGCGCGGCGCGCGCGCGCGCGTGAAGTTACTTTACATTTGACATTATGTTTCTGATTCTATTCCCACAAAGCTTTTTTGGGGGCTAACATTTTCTTCTGCAGGAGGTTTGAATGAAGAGAAGTATCAATCTCAGTTTGGCAATATTTTTCCTGTTGCTCTCTTTTGCCCCCCCCTACCTTTCGTCCCCCCCTCTCAAGTGTTGATTGTTGATAGATTCACATTGTACATAGCTTAAATAACTCAATGATCTTCATGGTGCAACGGCCTTTTGGAACCTGATGCAGGACGGATTCCCAAGGGCGTGTGACTGGGGGCCGTGACTTGGCTTCAACGGCCCGGTATCCCATGAAGTTTTGCGCAGAGCTTTTCACAGTCTGGCACGCAGAGTTTCAACGCCTTACATCCAGAGACCAAGATGTTCCAGCACCTTGAGACATGGCGCTGAGAAGAGTAGAGCCAGTAGAGCAGCCAAGATTGCTGATCCAGTTCCCAGAGTTCCCAGCCATCGGTATCTTCGATGTTTTCTCCTCGTTTGAAGTGCCTGCGTGCATTCCTAGCTTGCCACAATTGCACAGGTGGTAAGGATGTTGCACGAGCACTTTGTGTTTTGCAGTTGACGATGTTGACGTCTTTGAAAAACTATAGACGCCTTCAATCGCCTTTAAATTCAGTGATCGATGCAAGGAGAATTTAGATTTCTGTGGAGCAGGCTGACATGCTTGAAAGGTGTGACAGTCGCCTGCCGTTTCCTGCAGCAACAAGTCTGAGACATTTTCAGGCTTTTCAATTTCAGAGACAACTCATGCTAGAGGGAATCTGCGTGAGAAATCTATCGAGAGAAATTAGACCATTGGATGATTTTGGTGTTGATGTGTTCTGTGATGTTCCGTGGGGATGACATAGAAATCATAGAAAAAAAGATAAGTTCATATAGCATATATAGTACTCCTATATATAGTTCATATATTTCATGGACCATGGACGCTACAGGGATGAATTCCAGCGGCTTGAGACACGAAGAGTATCTTTGTCCATTTTGTTGAGACTACGCCCGCCAGGCGCCAGCTACAAGCATTACCAGATCAGCGCCAAGACAAGATCCTGCAGATGCTACAGGACCTACAGGGTTGATTTGGGCGCAATGATGTCATAAAATGTGATAAGATGTCATAAGCTAGCTTTGCTTTTCCAAACAGTATCCCAAATATATCCATCAAATCCCACAAAAGCAATCTAATCCCCCAATACTAAATATTTTGGCACGCGAGGATTCGAAACACCAGTGAAGAAGAGCAAGCCGACCAAGTGGGACCGCTTTGACGCGGCTTTGCATCAGTTTGATCACCTACTTTCGTTGCACGATGCTCCTCCACTGGCAATGGAGGGCACACCAAGAACACCAGCACGTGCTCCTGGACACCATGCCAGAAGTGTGCCACATGTGGCAGATGTGCCAGATGTTCCAGGAGCAGGGTTCAAGAGGCCTGGCCTCATTTTGAAAATGTTCAAGAAGATAAACAAGAATGTGGAACGAACAGTGTCATTTTTTCATTTTTTTCCACGAGATAGTTATTTTTGCCATTTTTTCGTGGATGAAATCCAGGGGCCCAAGGTTTCCCACCAGACTTTAGATAGTTATTTTTGCTATTTTTTCGTGGATGAAATCCAGGGGCCCAAGGTTTCCCACCATGATTTTCCACATCTTAATTCCAAAGCCCCCTGGCGTCCTTGAGTGTCTGGATCTGTTCAACCCCAAGCCTTGGAATTTCATCTCTGCAGGAGCTGACGCAGAGTGCCAGAAGATCCAGAAGGCTTTGCTGCGTCATTCTGAGAGGGTGTTGCAGGATGGCTATTTCATAGAGCTTGTGGACCTGCTGATTTTTTGCAAGCATTTGCAGGTGATGCCGGTTTTCTACTTCAACACAGAAAATGTAATTGAAGAAGCGCGGCCAGCAAACGAGTACCTCAACAATATTCTAGGGCCTCAATTTGCAGGCATGCAGTTTTGGCCCCCGACTCAGGCAACTTGGGCGATAGCAGTCACACGATCAGACTTTGCACCGTCAAACCACCCCGCAGCTTGGAACCACTGGGCGGTTTGCTGGGGGTCCAAGAGCCTTTCGCTGGCTGAGCGGCTCCAGACTTTGCAGAATGAAGCTGATGAGCGATCAGCGCACTACTTGAAGTTGGTGCAGTCTGCTGATGCTGAAGACGAAGCTGTGGTGGACAGCTTGCTGGAGCAGAAACAGCAGGAGTGTGAAACGATTTTCAACCTTCAGAAGTTTACCCGGCGACTGCATTTGATCAGCAAGCTGTTCCCTTGCAATGTTCTTGGAGACGGGAATTGCGGCCTGTGGGCCCTCCTGTCTCTACTGAATCCTGACCGTTCTGAGGAGCTATTGAAGAAGCCTTCCACTGCTTTCGCCTACAACCACACAGAGATGAAATCCTTGCGCCAAACATTGTCAACGTTGTGGAGCACTGTGGCAAGAAGCCTAGATAGCGCTGAGAACCAAGCATGGGCAAGGATGTTTCAAGTCTTCGCATCAGACATTGCAAATCCAGATGCTGATTGTGGTGAGACTGGTGTGCAGCGTCCTGGAGATGCTGATTGTGGTGAGACTGGTGAACCTGGTGAGATTGGTGAGCAACGTCCTGGAGACGCTGATTGTGGTGATACTGGTGAGCAACGTCCTGGTGATTGTGGAGATCCACCAGACTTGCCCAGCACACCACGCAAAGAATCTGATCCAAACGCGCTGCGCCAGCTGTTTGTGAATTTTACTCCCCCACGTGTCGCGCCAGCGGCCCGGCGGTTGCCTGCTGCGGGGATACTTCGAGAGCGGATCTCTCACGGGCCCAGCCTTCCCGTGAGCAAGGTTTTGTCTGGACAAGCCGAACAAGCACCTGCCCAGAATGCATCAAAGGCAACAAAGATCAAGCAGGAGCCGGGTGAAGTCACTGTGAAGCAGGAGGTCCAAGTCAAAGAGGAGCAGATGGAGTTGGTAGCTGTGAAAGAGGAGGTGAACGGTGTGCCTTGGATAAAAACCATGGGCTTGAGGATGTTGAGGTGATCAGTTCGATATATAGGTTGTGTTTATTTGATTTATTTGTGTTTTTAAGAGTTTTCTATGAGATTGGACAAACACGTCAGCGTCCCTGCTCTCAAGCCCTGGGCTTTTATCCTCTGTAACCTCTGCATGATGATGATCAAACGTAGAAACTGTGCAATCAGGGGTGAAATCCTTCGTAATCATGGTGTTGAATTCAAGTAGATGATCTAGAACTTTAATTTGGAATTCCAGTGGATGGGTTTGGGGCAATTCACCATGGGTGGGACAATTTCAAGAAATATAAGAAATCATACCCTGTCCTAGGCGAGCGAGACGAAAAGGACAAGAAATCGGAAGAGGAAGAGGGGAAAGAAGCGCACAGAGGAGGAGATCAGAGAGCAGAAGGAAAAGCAGACAGCAGCATGGCGGATCAAAGCATGCCGGGCTCATTTGGCAAACCTCCGGATATATTCTGGTCGCTGGCTGAGTGTCCACAGTCACAGGATGGTCTTGAGAGGGGCACCCAGGTGCAAGGTAGGAGGGTGGAAGAAGTTGATGCTGGAACTCATGGAAGGCAGAGTGCCTGATGATTGTGACACCTGCACCAAGTTCTTGAAGGATCAGAAATTCAACATGGAAGCCTTGCAGAGGGACATAGATCCGGCCACTTCGAAGATTTTTAGCATTGACGATGGCAATGATGAGATTGATGAGCAAGAGGTGAGCGATGATGACATTGGTGATGAAGGTCAGCAGAAAGAGCCAAAAGCGTTCCTCCTGGTAGCGAAGGACCCCCATGTCACCCTTCTTCAGGCCAACACTCACAAGAAAAGGTTTCCGGTCATGTGCAACCTTTGCAAAAGGAACTGCAACAACAAAAATTCAATATTTGACCTGGTTAACCCCAAGAGGGGCAAATGGTACTGGCAACACGTCCGTGCCCCAACACACAAGAACCGAGTGGCTGAATATGAATTTGAGCAAAGCAGAAAGGCTCCTGCTGAACCTAGCACATCTAGCACAGAGATCACAGAGATTTGCGCTGGATGTTGTGTTCAGGAATGCGCTCCCAGTTCGAAGCTTGGTGAGGTGGTTGACCACTTCCGGCTTTGGGCATCCTACAGTTCTCCTGGCAACATCGCTTCGCAGAACCCCGGGCACCAGTACACTTTTGATTTCAAAAATGACAAGCATATCATTGTACATCAAAAGTGCGAAAGGGCCTTGCTTCGTGCCACACCCGGGCAGCGAACTATGTGCAAGAAGTGCAGTGGGCTGCAGAACGATCGTTCTTTGGTGCGCATGCTTGCACGCTTCTACATGAAGCATTGCGCAGCCCGCACCTTGGCACGGATGGGATGAAATCCTGGGGTCAAAGATGGAAACTTGTAGTTTCTAGGCCTTGGAATCTTATCTTCCATGAAAATATGCCTTGACGACCAAATCGACCAACAACTAGCGGATATAGCGGGGACCGTCAGGGATGAAAAGCTGGGTGTTGAGGTTGTTACCCTGTTTTTTGTTAGGTAATTAGAGGTAGGCATCAGATGCGAGCCTAGGCCTCTTGGCAGCTCGTTTGTTCAATCCAGATGAAGAAGCGAGCATCTCTCTCGAGCTGAGCGGCTCTCCTTTCAGCAAAATGGGCTTCCGAAATGAGATTGCAGGCATTTGTGAGTCAAACCTTTTGGATTTGCAACGGTTTGTGAGAACCCAATTTCTCTCAATTCCAAGATCATCATGGACTGTGGCATTGAAGGATCTGATCGCTTGCCAAGTCACACCTTGCTTGCACGTCACCACCTCTGGGTGGTCTGGGCCTGTTGTGGCTCAGGCCAGAGAAATTGCTGAAAAATTGTCCAATCAGAAGATGGACACCCTCGACAGTCTCAACTTGAAGTTGGGGTGTGCCGTGGCCGCAGGTTGCCTAGACAAGCACCCCCTTATTCAGGGGGTGCTTGTTGCTGCCGTTGAAAAAGCCCGAAGGTTGGAGAAAAATGTCCAAAGCATGAAAGGACTCCAAGTGTCCAGTTTGGAGCTTGCCAAGATGTCAGATGCCGGCATCACTCTGTCATTAGCTGCTGGGAACAAACGGTTGTTGGACCTGTTCCACCTGGCGTGGACCTGTCCGCAGCTCCCATTGAGCAATTTGCATGCCCGCAACTTGCCAGAAGCTTTCATGGCATTCGCCTATGGCGACGTGTTGCGCACCAATGCTACCATCATCTCTGGCCTACTTGAGCCGAAGAAGAAGGAGGGCGAGGACACTGCATGTGCCAAGATGCGTCGCAGCCGGCGACGTCTCACTTTGGCATTTGATCGCACGTACCTGCTCCAAGCCATTGATGTGGTACAGTTACGCTGTGGCAAAGGGTACATTGGCACATCATTCGACATGAGCAGCCTGAACAACTCTGCAAACTCAGGTGATCAGAAAACAGGCCGTACAGGCCACTTCTTGCCCTTGCGCTCCCCATCTGATGTCACCGAGACAGAAAAGTGGAGTGGGTGGGATTGCCCATCCTCTGAGGGCCCATCCTGTGTGGATCTTGTCGCTATGGAGCAGACAGATCAGAAAGATCAGAAAGATCAGAAAGATCAGAAAGATCACAATGATCAGAAAGATGAGGATTCGTGGGACGCAACGACCCTGGATTATGCCCACGAGATGCTCGAATGTGTGGCGTGGGACCCACAGTTCGCGAAGCTTCCCCGGTTCAGCACATGTTGCGTGCCTGTATCATATGAGATGAGCAAACTCGATATGACCATTCTGATGGGCAAGATCCTGCAGCAGTGCGGGTCAGAAGTCCGTTGCCTTACCTTCGACAACGCCACGTCCCATGGCCTTATCAAGGCCTTTGTCATGGGCAGGCCGCATGGCCTCTCACCAGAGCAATTGCAGCAGTGTAGTTTTTGGAACACCATCAGTTACCAGAACTTTCCCCAGTGTGCATTGCCCAAATGGCCATTCAGACGGCCAATGATTGATGGTGAGGGGCTGTCTCTTGATTTCCCTTTTGTCAATTTTATCATATTCTATTTTTTTTTGTGGTTTTGACACCTTTGAAGTTATAGCGCGTATAGTGTACCTTATTTGATCTGGTTGGGCCAAACGGGCCAGCATGCAGATAAAAAGCAGTGATCTGACATTTTAAGTCATTGCCTCCATCAGATTTGCTGTTTCTTCTGTGTGTTTCAGGGGTTGTTTGACCCAATAATGCCAAACATGTCAAACCTTGGAATTTCATCCTTGCATCCAGTGATCTCAAGGCTTTTCGTTCTTCCATTTTATCCAATCGGCTTGGCATGAATTTTGCAGGTTTGCCCTCAACGGGCCGGCGCATGTTCAGAAGAATTTCTGCTCCCAACTCAGAAGCCCAATCCGGACTATAACGTTCGGACGCTATTTCGTTGACTATGGAGCCACGCTCGACACAGCCATGCCGCCGGGACCCTTTGTGGGGTACGACAGCATGTCGGACAAGGAAGCTGCAACCTTCCTCAACAGTTTCCTGGCATTTTTTTAGATCAAATTCAGTGGATCCTCATGCACTTTGTTCAAGGATGTTTGGGGCGGTCAATTTTTTGGATCTTGAGGAAGTTGAGATCTTGTGGTGGTCCATCTGACAAGTAAAATTATGAGGTCAGCCCCTAGGTTTTCATCCCTTGTGCAAACAACAGATTGATGGGGGTTCCCAAACGATGAATGGTGCGGATGTTATCCTCTTATTGTTTTGATTCGCCTTGCAAGGCTACTTCCTGAATGCAAACATGCAAGACCTTGATGCGGTGCAGATTCCGTGGTCCCTGGTGGGGCTGTTGCTGTTGAACTTCGTCGAAGCGCTGGCTGTGGGTGCTGCATTTCATCCGTCTCTTCAGCCCATTCAGAGGCTGGAGAACGCTTTGACGGCATATGCATTGCTTGATTTGGGGCGCATGTTGGCGTCCGAGACTGCGGCGCAAGAGGGCTGCTCAGTATCATCACGTTGGCTCTCACCTCAAACCAATCAGCATTTACAAGAGCTTTGTGGCCTGGTAGCCATAGCTGTCATGGGCCTTCCTGGTGATGCAGAATTCTTGCCCCATCGCAGCTCGGAGTTACCACTGGAAGCGTTCTTCGGCAGTTTACGTGCCCAATTCAACTCATCACAGATGTCGGCCAGAGACTATTGCTTCGCTTCTTCCAAAGCAATGTTCCAGACAATGAAGAGGATCACCAGTGATCATGGCTGCACCTTCCACACCGACCAGATCCTTGACGATGCCTACTTGAAGCCAGTCTCAGACGCAGAATTCGAGGCCTGTGCCGCTTGTTCCCTGGGTGCTGCTGTGAAGCTGATGGCATGCTGTTCTCAGTCGCTTGGTATCTTGTTAATCTTGTTTTTTCTTAGAACTTTTAAAGACGATTGGCTCCCATGTGTTTCAACATCTAGTTTCCTGCAATAAACAGGTCAGGAGCCCTGATGTCAGGCCTTGGAATTTTATCCCCCGCGCCCTGGTTGGACTGATGATCAATCATTGTATATAGTGGGGATGGTAGAACGAGGCAGATCAGACAAGGATGAAATGCTTGGTGTTGAGTTTATTTGCATCTCATTTGTTCAATGATATGGGCCCCAGAATCCCCCTGTGATCCCTGTGGTTTCTCAGCATCTAGTTACCCCGCAATAAACGGGTTAGGAGCCTTGATCCCAAGCCTTGGATTTTTATCCTCTGCGCGCTGGTTGGAATATTTCCATAGATCAACATCATAGATATCAAAGTTGTTAGTGATGAAAGTGACCTGAGGCTAGCAGACAAGGATGAATCCCTTTAGTATTTGCATCTCATTTGTTCAATGATATGGGCCCCAGAATCCCCCTGTGATCCCTGTGGTTTCTCAGCATCTAGTTACCCCGCAATAAACGGGTTAGGAGCCTTGATCCCAAGCCTTGGTTTTTATCCTCTGCGCGCTGGTTGGAATATTTCCATAGATCAACATCATAGATATCAAAGTTGTTAGTGATGAAAGTGACCTGCTTCTCTAGCATTTGTTTGTTCTTCGATCCCTGAGATTATATAAGTCATTATGGGCCTGAACCCCAAGCCCTAGAAATTTATCCTCGGTGATCTCCATGCCATGATGATTACCCATCAGAATGTTAAGGAATCACTGGTTTTGGATTTTGATACGTTTGAGTGCTGTGGGTTTACCATCCGAGGTATAGCAGATCAGAGCTGCTGGACAAGTACGTGGCCCAGTGCGCCAAAGAGCCTGACGAGATGGCTGAAATGATGCTTGACATGCATTCTGTGGAGGTTGAGGATGATCCAGTGGATGTTTCAGACCTGTCAGAATTTGAGGAGTTTGTCGTCACTGAGCCCACCGGTGAGCCTAAGATATCTGATATGTCTGGGGCAGATCTGAAGTGTTACCAGCTTCTGAATCAGATCAAAGCCCGTCAAGCGGCCAACCGCGTCACATTCGAAGGCATTCGTGAAGATGGCACCTGTATGGAAGAGCTTCCAGAGAGGCAAGCCCAGCGTCTGGGTTGTGGGCGCAAGCTGCCACCCCCAGAGCTAGACAAATCTACATGGGATGAGGTCCTCGATGTGGATGATGTGGATGACGATCAGACATGCGCAAGATCCACCAGGATGAAGAAACTGGTGACCTTATCGCAGGTCTTTGCCGAGGTTCGACTGGGTGATGGGGTGGAGTTGACCAAGATCGAACCAGTGCTGGGGCCCTTGTGGCAGTGTCTTACCAACATCAGAACAAAGGCAGATCATCACGCCTTGCCAAGACCATACAGATTCCGAACAACAAAAAAACCACTGAATTGGTACGCTTCTGCCCAGCGACTGGCGGCCCAAGTGAGAGCCATCTGTGGCCTCCCAGCCAAGAGGTGTTCCAGAGCCTATGCATGGAGAAACCTTGCGGCATCCTTCAAAAAAAGACATGGCCTTGAAGATGCCGCTGCTGAGGTTTGTGCTGGCACGCCAGTCCTCTATTGCCCTCCAAAAGACCGTGCTTGGCGAGTAGGTGTCATTCTGACCTGCTGGAGGTACACAGCAAAGAAGGGGGTTCGCTCTGGCGCCAAGCCTTGTACCATGGCTATCCCCAGGGATGTGTGCAGGTACTGCCGGATTTGCCAGATGCAGCCTGATGAGAATGATGATTCTACTTGGAGATGCCGGGCTTCAAGTTCTACCAGGGTCTGCGACATCAACCGGGTGGCGCTGTTTCTCTCTGCTGAGGCGCATCCAAGCATTGACGGTCTCAAGCTGGTTTTGTCCTCCAAGTCCTTGGAGGCCGTCCGCCATGCTCATCTCTGGGACGAATGGCCAGCGCACTTGCGGGACTTGGATGATTTCAAGTCAGCAAGACAAGGACCAGTGGCCGACTTGGCTTTTGCTGCCAAACAACAATGCAAACCTGTGCGAAAGAGGCGGCAAAGAAGGAAGCAAAAAGCACGGAAAGCACCGAAAGTCATTACGCCTGCAAAAGGCGTGGAGATCATCGACGATGACAACGAGTCAGCTGATGATGCCCATAACAGTGTGCATCTTGCTGATTCTGACATGTCTGATGCAGAAGCCACTGGAGCAAATGACCAGTCCAAAGCGTCCCAGGCAGATCAGGTGGAGACAGTGCACCCAGTAGAGAAGGGCAAAAAGACACTCAAAAGCTTGCAGAAGAAGACCAAAGAAGCAGTTGACATGCAGGAGAAACCAGAGAAGAGCAAGGAGATTTTGGTGCCTTGGTGGGCTATTGTGTAGCGCTACTTCTGTTGCTGGGTGGTCTGGGTGGTGAAACGTCCCCAAAAAACATAATAGCATCAATAACTCATATGAAAAAATCCAGGGTTGCGGTTCGGACTCAATGACTGACATCACCCACGGCTTATATTGAGAGCATTGTTGCAAACATCAGGAAATATCGAGAATAGTGTGATATAGTATGTTTGTTTCTTGTTTTTTGCAACATTTTGAGTTTCATTTTATAGCTGAAATGACTGCATGTGTTTAGGTTAGATAGTTGGCATAGCTGAAGACTGTCGAGGATAAAACTCATGACGCTGACATTTCGTGCCATTGGGGGTGTTGTTGCTTTTGCACACAGCAATTGAGAAAAATCATTGGACATGTTGGACCCATGAATTTCAGCCGCGAGGTGTTATGATATATTTGATGAATGATATGACTATTATGACTGAATGCCGGTGAGTAGGCTATTTGCAGTCGAGAGCTGACCAATGTTGAGGATAAAAACCATGATGCTGACATTTGCGCCATGCATGGAGCATCATGGAGCCAACCAGAAAGCATTGAACACCTTTGTTTGCACACAATGTAAGAATGGGAAGAGAAACGTTGGGCTATGAATTCGAAAAATTATAAGATCTTTGACACATTTTGATATAAATGATATCACTGGATATGTGTGTAGCTCGTGTATATATATATATATGTGTGATACATATATATATATATATGTTTTTATATCGTCTGTAGTTGAGTTAGTTGGTATAGCCTAGGAATGCTGAGGCTGAAATCCCATGACCTGACATCTGCATCCTGTTGCCCAGGCAATTGCTGCCAACTTTTCACGTTTCCGCAGTGGAGATCGTTTGATATGGCAGGAGATGAATCGCTTGCTGGAGTTGGACCAGCAGCACCACTCCAGCCGTCCTCTGCTGGATGAACACGGCAGAGTGAGGTTGAAAAACCCAGTCACAGGCGTCACAGAGACAGGATTGAAATGGTCAGAGGTCTTGGAACGCGCTCCAGGATATTTCTCAATGCTGCATCACACCATTCGCAACCGCGAAGCCTACGGAAAAGCTGTGCATGGTCATTTCATTCGCATCGCCAAGCAGCTGTCGCAGCCGCCGTACCTGAGAACTGCTGCCTGGCCTATTTGGAGATTCAACTGATACAAAAGTCAAATTCCTTCTTCAAACTTTGTGAGTTTCAAATGTTTCAGATGTTTCAGGACCAAAGCCCGGCGTTCCATTTTTTCCGTGAGATTTGCAATGTTGCTCAGGATTTCCTCCGCTTGATTTCTGAGATTCCCACTGCATCTCTGGGCACAGTTGAGCAGGAAGCAAACAAGCAGCGCTAGGGAAATAGATGAAACAGGTCCCTTTTTTTTGAGATCTCTGAGCAAATCCTGAAAGGTTCAGAAATTTCAGAAGAAATTGAATGATTTGAAAGCATTCTGTCATTTGCCTTCAGATCCTTGAGGCCCCACACGGGCATTATATTTTTCCACACCTCAAAATCTTCAAACCAAGGACTGTGGTTTCGTTTTTTGATATTTGGACTGAACCAAGGAAGGGTTTGAACAAATTAAGAACCATTAATATGAGTTGGTCAAGAAGGCCGACTTCGAGTCTTTATGTGCCAAGAAGGCCAGCGGATCCACTTGCGATTCTCTATGTGCTGGGAGGTCGGGGCCAATTGTTTTCCACATTTCAAAAATTTCAAGCTCCAATTCAATCTGAAAATGTTTGATGATGAGGCTGATTCCTTTTTTTCTTCCGATTTCTTTTTTTCTTCCGATTTCTGATGGCCTCGCAGACCCTCGCGGCTTGGGGATGAATCAGCAACTGCGCCAGGGAAAAAGTATGCCGAAGATCACGGGTCTGGGGGAAGCAGAGGACATGATTCTAAAAATGTTTGATGCTATAAACCTCAGTGTATTGATTTTCAGCCTCGGGGTCATCTCGAAAATTTTTAAAGGTACATATCTTGTATCCTGGGTTTTCATCCACGTGGCAAGTGGGATCATGCTTCAAAAATTGCAAAAGCCATGGACTAAAATTTAGGCTTGACCTACCACTTTTAGTCTGGGACGGACGTCAGTACAAAAATTCAGCCAGTCAGATTGGATGTCAGTACATGGGAATTCATCCACATGTGCAGGCTGAGATCCCAGGGTTGAGCCCTAAATGTCACACCACATGGGGATTATAAAAGGTATTAAACAGAATGTCACCTCTAACTACACTACACTAAGGTACATTTTCTGTGACCATGACGCAGCTCCTACTGGGTCTTCGAGGGATGATTTTTCAGGCTTTCCCTTTTTATGGTGACCTGGTGGTACCCTAAAAAGGATGGTTTATAGTGGAAAATACCATGAAAATACCATCTATAGATGGATGAAAACTGGGGGGTAGCCCTATGACTCAGGAAACTTCGCTGATCAATTTCCATGACCTGTCTGAACTGTAATCCTGGAGCCGTCGAATTCAGCTGAGATATTGATGTGGCTACAGTTCAAGGTTCCTGGCAATGTGGCAACCACTGGGTCCCCATGTTTTCCCGAGAAACTTGGAAGGTTTCAGAAAGATGTCCATCATCAAACGAGCAACGTAGGAGAACGGTCGGCGAATGATGGATTCAACCGCCCCAACATACTTTACCCCAAAGAACATCAGAATCCCTTGATTTTTGTTGGACCGCCTCGCCAGAACACTCTTTGGCCAAAAGTTGCGTCCCGGTCTTGCACATGAGAAGGCATTTCGTTTGGGAAGGGAAGTGGGTTTTAACCCGTGTATAGCTCAGAATCAGAAGTGAGGAGATTCCATATATGACCATGTATTTAAGTAGGTTTCGGAAAGATCAAACATCCGCAAGCCATTCTGATTCTTGGTCTGGTTTTGCTGTTCGAGAAATACCACATGGTATGCTGAGTATGCTGTATTCTATATATATATATTATACATATATATTATATTATTATATATACATATATGGGAAACCTCACCCGTTTGTGCTGGGCTGGAAAGATCTGGTGCATTGAGATCATCTAGACCGACATGTTATATCACCAGGTCCTGTTGATTTTCTTCGGTTGACTACCCTCCCCGCTCCTCCGCGCACAGTCAAGCCCCGAAAATGGACATACATGGACCAAAATTGCTTGATTTGTTTTATTCTTAGTCCCACCGAGCGTGCCTATTCAAGCTATTCCACTCTGCAGGACGCACCGGGCAAACCCTATCCGGAGTGCGCCGCTGGTGAAGAACCACCGGGTCATTTTGGCGAATCGACGTTGGAATGCTTGGAATGCACCTTCGAGTCTCTAGGCTTCGCTGGAATAAGTTGAACAATTCTTAAGGACAACAACATGATATGATTTTATGTAAATTTAAATGTTTACATCGCACAAACAAAGCCCTCCCCCCTCAAACATTGAGGGTACACAAATAATGAAAACATCACCCAAGTTCTCCCAACTGAGAGCTACTTCCCACCCTGAAACTTCATGGTTCAGTGGTGCCAGGTACGGTACGCTGCACGACATCGACTGAGGGCCTCTTCCAACAGCTACCGCGCAAAAGTGCGAATAAAGATCTGGGCAGGTGGTGGCCAGGGGTGGCCAGATTCCCAGGCAATTTTTTCCCTTGTGACTTGGAGGAGCAACGTTGGATGGTACTGATCGAATATGATAGCAGGGTTGAACTGGACCAGCGAAAAATGACAATGGAGGTTCTGGGGCTTGGAGATAGATGACTATGTCCAATTTTTTGGGACTTTGACAAATCCACCATGTCATGGTTGATTCTTTTGGAGAAGGCAACGCTCCTGGTCGGGGCCAAGTCATTGTGCATGTCTCCAGGTTTCTTGGGCTGTGACTTTCTCGATCTTTATCCCGAGACAGCAACAACAAGCAAAACAGCAGGGCATCCCCTGGTAGCTTTGCAAGGTTGCGGAACATCAACCTCTGTATAAGGTAGACAGGGCTTTTTTGTTTGCACCATGATTTCAAGATATGCAATCCTGTCTAAGCTGTTCCGTCTTTGGCAATTCTGCAAACAAAACCGAGTTCATGACCGTCTTTGGCATGTTGGAGTTCCTGAAAACTTATTTTCACCCCAAGGTTCACCTCCAATTTGTTTTGATTTTTGCATCTCCAATTTCATCCAACCTTACGATTATTCATGGTTATTAATGGGGATTAATGATTGTTAATTATTAATGGTTATTAATGGTGATTTATGGTCAACAGGCCCAAAAAATTCTATGCCGCTATGGCCGGCTATGCAGAGCATGCAGAGCCGTCAAGCTTCGACTGGTCCATGCTGGAGGTTGTGAGCGGAGGTGTTGACACAAGAAACAACAATTGAGGAGCAACGCGCACACACACACACATAGAGATATGATGAGATATGTTAATATAACTGGTGTGGATTCTATAGATACATTGAGAAATGATGCAGACTAATATAAAATAATATAAATATGACAGATAATCTATTGATCATATTGAAACAGAATACCGGTCCATCAATCCATAAATGATCTATAGAATTACATCAATCCATCAAAATCCATGAATCCATAGTAAGTCGATAATCCATCGCTATAGATCGTTTGTGTATATATATATATATTTCTGATTACATAATTCATGAATATTTATGACATCAATGGAATCATCATATTCATAGCACCCCCAAAGTTAGATAGAAGTTCGTAACATCCGTGAGTCTAAAAGTCTTAAATAGTGATGAATCCCTTTTTGACATCTTGCTTGAGGTTACTATATCCATGATATCAATAGAATCATCAAGCATATCCACAAATAGTTCAATGCTATCGAACAAAATAGTATATAGTAATATATCAACTTAGAATATCAGCTCATGACATAATATATTTATGTTATATGATGTTATATGTATATACGTATATAGTTCATAGTCATATCAACGTAGAATATCAACTCATTAACCATACCATACCACAATATATATAGATAGTTCACAATAAATACAATACCAGTAACCCATCAACTCACAAGATCAACTTTATCCATGATATATAGAAGTATATATATATGTATGATTATGTATAGCTAGATACTTAAACAAAACACCATACATGGTTCGTATGCCAGGTTCAGCTGCTGGCTGACTGGGAACAACGTCGCCAGGCCGTTCAGGCGATGGAAGTTTTGGATTTTTCTCGGTGGGTTTTGATGGTGAAATGATGTTTAGTGTATGATGTTTTAATGGCCATTTCAATGCAATTTCAATGCAATTTCAGGTGGTTTTATGGTGACATGATATGACATGATGTGACATGTGTGAGGTTTTAATCCTGTGTGACGATTTTTCTATGGGTGATTTCGTGGTGAATTCACGTTTTATTTTAATACGATCAACGCATGGCGATTCTATGGTGATTGGAGCAGGAGGGGTTGATTCAAACGAACCATAACTAGATATTAACCTGTGGTTTCTAGATCAAATTTTATTGATTGACCAGGAGGGGTTGATTAGATATTCCAGGTTTCTACTATTTACCCTCGCCTCAGTTTGCAAATATGGTCAATTGCCGGCTCCTTTTCCATTGAAACCACAAAAGATACCATCTGGTTATGACTAACATAGCCATGGGAAAATACCCCATTTTTAATAGGTAAACCATCTGTAAATGGGCCATTTTCATCCATTTTCCATGGCTATGTTAGTCATAACCAGAGGGTATCACCAGATATCACAGGCTCAACGGGTTGATCAACCGGTTGATCTATTGGGGCCCCGTAAAAACGCCTTCCCGAGGCCTTGGGCCGTGGGAAGTTCGACGCCGACGCCGACCTCGACCGTGCTCTGAAGTTGCCTGTGGACCGTTGGTGGATCTGATGAGGATTCAAACACAATTTCTAGGAGCTACATCAGTCATATCTACAGTACTTACTGTATAACTATCAATCATATGGGGATATAGATGATAGCCGATGGTCGATCAACAAGGGCCTACAAAAAATAGTAATTTGTTACATAAGTATGTGACACATCTATCATCTTTTGACAGGGAAATCATCGAACAGAATGGACTATGTATATAGCCGTTGCAAAGCATACCACGGGGTAAGCATCATTCATAGGTTGTGGGGATTATGGGCTAATCCATATGGTCATAGTTGATGAAATGTGACTAAGCTATAGATTATAACTTAAGCATATGGGTAATGACAAAAACCAGCATCTATGGGGGTTACAAGTTACAAGTATCAATCATATGGGGAGATTAGATAACTAATGGTTCATTGGGTTACTTGTTGATTTTTTTTGAGGGTTATGAACCCAACTGGTTTACATAATTACTTGGGATTATGAACTAACCCACGATTGTCCGTTGACCAAGCAGTATATTAGGAGTCCGGAGGAGTTTGATTTTACGGCTCAGTTCCGTTTGTTGGTAGAAAAGGCACCATCAACTATAGAGATACCTACCATAAATATCTATAAATATCTATAATCCCTAGTTATATCAGTTGGTGAAGCAACTTGTTCTGGGACACCACCTTGTGGCAATTGAACATCCAGTCGGTTCATTTATCTCACTTGGAAACACTGGAGCAATTGGTTTATGGACAGACATGCTGGATGTTGTGGACATAAACCAAGTGGATATAATTGGCAATTGAAGATTTATGTCATTTATGTCATTTCTGTCAATTTAAACTGTAGATTTTGTAATGATTCTCAGACGATCTCCAGTGATCGAATTTCTACATCCCGGCGTTTTCACCCAGCACCATTTCCCGAGGGTAACATGGGATGCAGGAAAACCATCTCTTGTCGCCCCTTGTCGCCCCTTTGTTTCCATCCCCCTCATTAGCTGCGGCCCTTCAGTTTCCTTCCCAGGTTAGTCACCCGGCAACTGGCGGACGCGGATCAACACGTCCGCAGGTCTGCGTTGGAGGCGTTGGTGCGGCTGGCTTTGCCGCCGCCGCCGCATGAAGATATGAGCCCGGAGGAGCAGCGACCGAAAGGACGTGGGGAAATTAAACCCTCAAATAGTGGTACGCTAAACCCATAGATTTACTAAAAAAAGGACAAATCCGACCAAAATATACCAAAATGACTTGGGGTGACTTCACCAAGCGTTTTTCAGATATTTTTGGTGAAGAATACTCGGATAGGACGCCTCAGCAGCTGCAGTGGCGCGGCAGAAAGCGCAAGAAAGCGAGGCAAGGTGGGAAAGATCACTAAGAACAATGGACATCTACCATGGCCATATTGGGATGGCTTAAAAGGAACAGCAATCATGGAGGTGAAACCAATGGACTATATATATAGGATGGGTCAATAATATAGGACTATATAAATGGACTATATAAATGGACTATATAAATGGACTATATATATGATTATATATAAATATGGGATGGGTCAATATCTATGATTTGCCATATGAATGGGGAGATCGACATCCAGCTTTTTTCTGTACCAGCCTCGATGACTACTGGGGGTTTCGATCGACAGATGTTGGACTTGTTCATTTCCTTTTGGTGAGCAAGTCCAAAGTTCCAGAATTAGTTTACAGTGAGTTTCTTTAAGACCATATGTACGAATTTGTGAAAAAACATGGTGTAAACACCATTGTTTCAACATGTTTCAACCACATGGTTTCCCAACCGCACCAGGTGATGCAAAAATTGCTGCAGCAAGTGATGCTGCGGCTGGCTGATGATGAGGACCTAATTTCATCGGGATCCTTGAGGCAATCACTAGACCGAAGGACATGTTGTGACCTGTTTTGCTTGTGGCAAAATTTTAAAGTCTAAATTTAGCATCCACAAGTGTAAGATTAAACTTATATAAAATTATTAAAACCATAAAAGCCTGAACAGGCAACCGCCACGGAGAAAATATGCTTCCATGCTTCTCCTCATGCCTTTATTTCCAACCTCCGGGGCAAACACGTTCATCCACAAAATGGGGGATTCCGAGACTTGGTTGAAGGGAAAATCATCAGGAAAACTCGATGTTTTTTCGGGTAAAAACACCCATGGTTTCCTGTAGATTTTCATGGAAATCAACCCATTGAGGGATTGACAATTTTGACCCATACTGTAGCCATGGGTTCAGGGGCTCACTGCTTTACCAGTTCAGGCTAACCTCTGTCAGAGTGGGTAAATGAGGATAAATGGGTTCTCTCAGAAGGGCAGAAGACATTGGTCAAGGCTTTTTTCGTGTTCTTCCTCCTACACACAAAGATGGGTCATTTTTCGTTCTTAACCATCCCATTGTAGGTCTCAACAACTTTGAGCGATGGCCTTTCTGAGGTTGCACACAACCTTCATAACCGATATAGGGGACGACCCTTTACCAATACCCAATTTGTGATATTACCGAGAGTACTGAAATCCTCACTTCCGATAGGGGATGACCCTAATTGTGCATGGCATTGAATTTAACAAATAATTTTGTCCGCATCTATATATATATAATCCAATCACACCCCAATATCCAGGATGGTCCAATACCAAGTTTTCCCATCGTTTTGACAATCGTACGTATCATTATCATGGGTTTGTTGAAAGTAACTCTTTATTTTAGCAATGGGAAATCCACCGTTTGGGGAATACATACAGTAGGGAATAGTTTCATATTTTATGGGGGGCTTCAGTAAATCCCAAGTTATGGGGACTATATTGATGCCCAACTATCTTCAGACTTATCGAGACTGTGAATCGATAGTGGTACATCATTGTATATCACATATCATATATCATCACATATATACCATCACAGATAACACTATATATATATATGATATCTATTGATATCTCTATCACATCAGTGATAGTTGATTTACCTATTGAAAGTGGTGATTTTCAATAGTTATGTTAGTTAACCAGAGGGTATCATCATATCTCATCATATCGATATCTATTGATATATGGAGGTTTCCTAAAATGAGGGTACCCCTGAATCATCCATTTATAGATGGATTTTCCATTATACATTATAAACATTTATAAACCATCCAGCTATTGGGGATCCCCCATTTATGGAAACCCGCATATCCATCATCTCTACCCAAAGCCATCTACCCTCTGGTAATTTAACATAGCTATAGAAAATCACCATTTTCAATGGGAAAATCCACTATTTCTATGGTCATTTTCAATAGCTACGTTAAATTACCAGAGGGTAATCTATCAATACCTATTAATACCATTTTTAGGGGAATGAACATCCATAAATCCCAGCTATTTTGATGTGAACTACAGGGGTACAAGGTTTTGACCCACTGCCATCTAATCTCCCCCCAGGACTGGGGTGTGCGGCGGGTTGCTCTGAGCGCCCTGAGTGAAATGGCGCCCAGAGGACACAGCAGAGCCTTGAAGGCGGTGGAGGCTGGGGACAAGTCACGGTTTGTTGTACTCTCCGGTAAACCATAGGAAAACCATAGGAAAACCATAGGAAAATGGTGGTTTAATGGGATTTAATGGGATCTAATGGCACTTACCCTCTGGTAAACGTTTACATAACTATGGAAAAGCACCATTTTTAATGGGTAACTCAACTATAAATGGGAAAGACATCGAAATTGACGTTTTGTTGTAGACCATCACTGGTTGGTGATTTGGAACATGAATTTTATTTTTGCATAGATTGGGAAATTCATCATCCCAACTGACGAACTCATATTTTTCAGAGGGGTTATCAACTTCATTGGGGTGTCTAATCAAATCTAAATCTGACATTGATGATTCGTTTCTTATATATGGATATATATATATATTATATTATATATATATTATATAAGGCTCAAATCATGGTTTGATCCGCTGGGTAATCCATGATGGTTCCGCCTCCCAATCCTGGGATCAAACATGGACTCCTCTTTTCCTCCTGCTGGTTGCATCTCCACTTTCATAGAATTGGATGATGGGAAAATTTACAGGAAACCCCTATATTTGATGGTAAAAACCATGGTTTCCTGTAAATTTTCCCTTAAACCAATCCAATGACACTTTGCCTCTTCTCCTTTTTTTGTTTCTTCTTCTTCTTCTTGTTCTTCTCTGCTCTCCTCCCTTTTGGTTGGCTTCTGTATCATTGGAAAGGATAACATATATATTATATAGTTAACGAAACCAGATTCGCATCTACTAAGCTGTGTCCACCAGTCTGCGCTCTGCTCCGGACACACACACAGATAGATGTTCAATGGTTTGTCATGATCAAATCAACTGTGATTCAATGATCCAAGTCTTGGTGGGCCAGGTTCCACATTTGCTTGGTTCAAATCTTTAACCTACCGTTTTTTTTTGTTTGGATCAAAAGTCCCAATGGTACCTTGCTATTCCACTTGTGTTGGACAAATCTTCATATTTTTCTCATGATTTGTTCGCCTTTTTTTTTGCCAACTCCGAAATCATGGTGGGTGAAATCCCAGCTTTGCTCAGAGCACCATCCACGGGACACCCGGACGCCGCCGGACGCCAGGTCTATCTCCGCGATGGCGACGACGACGTGCGGGCCGCAGCGGCGGCGGCGACCGGGAAGCTGGCGCCCAAGGGGGATGAGGTCCCCAGATGTCAGCGATGGACGTCCTGTGGATCCAACGATGGTTACCCCCTGGCATAGCGAAGCCATGGCACAAATAGATGTGAATTAGGGCTTGAAATCGCGATTTTTCCCCATATTTTCCATAGTTATGTTAAATTTCCATATAGATGGTTTTTTAGAAAGCCCCAAGAAGATAGACGTTGGTAAAGTCCCACAAAAACAATGGGCAGCCATGTTTGATTCCGACAAAACCATGACAGGACTCGCTTGGAAAGTTGTTGGGACTGCTGCAGGATGACGATGAGGCCTGGTGATGTGAGATTAAGCCTGGCTGCCAATGCCACCCACTGTGGCTGGTACACAACATCCACTTCGAGGAAAATAGGGGGTGGTTTGTTGTTGAGTTCAGCACATTATATTTTTTGGATTCTTTCTTGGGAAATGTACATCTACCAACCAGAGAATTTCTTCGTAAACGCGAGACATGTGGCTTAGACACATACCAATCTGGGACAAGGTTTTGAAATGTTTTGAATGTGCCCATCCCCCCAAATATCTTGAAACTTGAGTGCTGCTCCAAAAGTCAGTCAATCATATTTTCCAATCATTTTCCCATCATTCTTCATCAGATCTTCCATGATGTTTACCTGCTTCGGAAGCGAGGCTGTGCGCCAAGCTGCAGCGCTGGCCGTGGGCCGCGTGGCGCCTAAGGGGCACTCGGAGGTGGTAAGATGCCTCAGGGATCTGGCCAATGAGGAAGATGACGAGCCTTGACGAACGAGGGTTTCCATCGTCGGGGCTACCCCAATAGCTGGATTATAAAGTTTATTTTACGCAAATCCTATATATTTAAACAATGGATGATAATTGGGGGTTATGCCCATGACTTAGGAAACCTCCATATACCTGGAATAATTAGGGATTATTTAAGAGTTAACAAACTAAATATGGGTTTATAATGAGAAAAACTATCTATGACAATATTTGGAACTTAGTAACTGGTTACCTAGGATTGTTGATCTATTGGGAATATCAGCTTTTTTCCCGAATGCGTAGCAAGGGTTCCCGTTTCACTCTGGGGGTTTGGGGGTTGAGGGTGTGTTTGCTAGACGTTGCGTTTGCATCGGCAACCGTTTGCAACGGTTCGCGTGAGGTCCCTATGGCCGTGCCTATGGGGAGTGGTGCAAAAGTGGTCACTTTTGCAGGAGGTTTCAAATGTTCCGTAACCTCGTTTTGTGTGGCAGGCGTGGCACTTTGTGACATTCCAACATGTTTCATAACGTGGTAAAAGTCCTTCTGTGTGACAGGCGCAATACTTTTGCGCCATTTTCAGAAGATGATTTGGATTTTGCGTGGCAGGCGCAGCGCTTCAGACATGTCGTGTTACGTGGTTGTTGCGAATCGCATTGTCGGGGCTGCGTCAAGTGGTGACAACGTGCAAATTTCGTGGCAGGCGTGGCATAGTAACTATCCCAAAATGACCGAAGGGCAGGGTCCCGCAAATAAAGAGGGTGGCCGGAATTTTCAGGTTGGTGAATTGTAAAATTGATCCAGATAGACAGATGACTTTGACATATGCCTTAGACTCGAGTCTATACCCATATGTATTTTGTTTGTACAAACAAAACTAAATACATTAATAGTTGCATAAATAGATACATACATAAGTAAAGTGATAAATAAATCAATATATATATTATTATATATATATAAATATATTAATGTATGTATGTATATACACATTATATCGACATGTATATACAATTATATACATGCGACATACTCAGTTGCAAGTGAGCATGCGATTTTGGAAGGGGTATCTAAGGATAGGCATGTTGGTGTTGAAGTTTACCATGGGACATAGCAACTTGTGCGTTGGTTGCCATATCGGGCAAACACGTGGCACCAAGGACAAAGTTCGTCGAGTGGTTGTGTCAACCTTGCATACCTTGCGGTAAAAAGATGGGCGACACGTACAGAAACCCATGGAAACAATTAGTAGCAATAAAAGTGAGAGGCTGTTGCTTCACGGCAGCATCTATGTGAGTTGTAGGGCACATTCGGGTTCACACATGTTCACAAGATGGGTTTGTTTTTTCCATGGAGTATATCTCTAAATCCATAGATTTTTTCTCAGCATGTAACTCTTCGGCACATGTAGTTGACATGGAGGTCTAGCTGGCTGTGTTGCAGACATGGCTTGCTGGATTTGAGACTATGTCTGATATTCTTGGTGATATACTGACACAAGTTCCCCATTTATATACTGTAAATCATTGTAAATCTAGTTCCAGTTGGTGGTTTCAAACAGCTGTTCTTCTTCCTAATATGTGGGATGATAATCATCCCCATTGAAGATCATATTTCTGGGTATTTGAATCCACCAATCGATGATTTGTTGTTCATTTCACGCCGATTGGTGGAAAAAACTCAGGTACCCCAAAACTCCAGTGGTTCAAAAGAATGTCTCCCCCGTTACGCTTCAATGGCAAGAAAAATTGCGGTGGTAGATCATTTTTTTTTTAGTCAGGGACCAAATCCGTATCTCAGCCATTCTCAGCCCTTTTTTCTTGTGAACACACCATGATCTTGAGAGGAGCTGTATGGCTTTTCCAACATCAACACGGGTGAGTGGACCGATGGCCTCGTTGCTGGTCCATTCTGATGATTTCTGGAGACTTTTTGGAGACATTGGAAACATTGGCAACACTGGGCATTTGTGGAATCACTAGCCTCTGGTAAACATACAAAAAAACTATGGAAAATCACCATTTTTCATGGGAAAATTCACTATAAAGGGTGATTTTCCATAATTATGTTAAATTTCCAGAGAGTAATGTGTTTTATCCCAGGAAAACACAGCATTTAGTTTATTTCAGAAGACACCTCAGTTGAGCTCGGGTATAAGCCACAAATTGGATGCTTTGATGACCAAAGTGGGCACAGGAGTTTAAACATTTGATCCATATCCAAGCCATTCTGCGTAAACCCAGGCACCGTTCGGTTTGACAATGTTTGACTGGTTGATTGTTGAGATTCTTCAGGTTGATATATATATACACATAATATAAATATCCTACAGAGTGTTGAGCACAAAGTTTGGACACGAAAGGAGTCGGTACGGTGTCGCTGCTATTTATGAGCCAGGCTAAAACTGCTCCAGCTGGCAATCGAAGGTCCGGATTCGATGATTTTACCATAGTTCCCAGTACAAATGTTGATGATTCTGATCCAGAGATGTTTTATGATCCAGAGATGATAGTTGATGATCATCAACATTTTGATCTGGATCATGTTAGTTGAAGCAGATCATAGTTTCCCAGTACGAATGATAGTTGATGATCCGGAGATGATGATGAATTATGAATTTTCATATATATATATATTGTATATATATATATATATTTAGACACATAGATTCCCCGCCATCCTTGAAAGCCCCACATGATCAGCACACCGAGGTGGCTCTACTGGTGCGCGAGGCTGTGAGCGATACCTCCGACAACAAGAAATGGGTGCCGTCGCCTTTTCGTCCGCTGGGTCAACTGGGTCAACCTTGCTGGATCACGGGAACAGGGACGATGGGTCAGCGACGACTTGGAATGTCAAGTGGAACAATCCATGTGGGGATGGGTCAAAGCCTATTATTACCATATTGGGGGAATAAACATTCATTAGCCAGATATTTTGGGGTGCACTAGGTACCAGGGCTTTGACACATCCCCATGTTTCTCAGCAGCTGAAGATCTGAAATAGATGTTCTTTGCAGGGGAAAATAAAAAAGATCAGCCTGGCCATGGAACGTCTATGACTTGGCAACGCACGAAACCTCTGATGCTTCATGGTTAGCTCTGGGATTGAACCATCTCAACCAGTAGCTTTGGAGACTTGGAGATGACACACGTCTGGAAAATAAAGAAAGCACGACTCTCATGACTTGTGTTTTTTGAGGTGACTGGCTAGGTTCAGCACCGTCCAAAAAAATCATCCCGTGTTTGGGGTAGCTTCATTCTCTACAGCAAAGACCATCCACTAAGAATTATTGGTTACTAGCTAAGGTGTGCAGATATGTCCAGATTGATATTTTAGCGGCTTAGATGGATTTGACCTCAGCGCTTGCTGGATTAGGGGTACCAATTTTGAGAAGCCACCGCCATCCATTACCACTGATCAAAACTGCTAGCCTGACTCTTTGCAATAGAATTACATAATATAATCTACCCTTCAGTCACTGCAACGAATTATTCTAGGTCCATCTGAAATCGCATATCGCATTGATCGTGATTCATCCTGCAATATTAGGATGGCTTCAGACTGCAGACTGGGGCCATTTAAATCATTTCTGGCCGGTGAAGCTCCGGTCGAGGTCGAAGTCCCATCCCATTTCCTTCACCCAGGTGCTCTTCGACGGACCCGTGGATGCCATTTGGATTGAGAACATGAACACGGTGACCTGGCGGCGTACCAGAACTGTTCGGGTTGGTTTTTCACCGGCAATTTCAATAGGAGGGTTACCCGGCCTGGTTATGTGAAAATAGCTATTGAACATGGCCATTTATAGTTGATTTACACATTAAAAATGGTGATTTTCCATAGTTATGTAAACGTTTACCAGAGGGTAACCCTCCAAAAAATACCATTTTCACCACCAAAAATGAGAGATGTTATAGCCTCAAGGTACGGGAAAAGCTTGCCGATATCCCCGGAGAAATCAGGGAATTGGGAGATCAGTAGTATATAGGTTGGGGATACAAGCGGGGATGTACCCATGGGATCCATGGGTGAAGGGTAGATCAATACTTTGCAATCTCTTGCCATACAATGGAGAATGGATGCCAAATGCAAGCCATGTGTCTGAAACGCGAGCTGCAGACCCCCGGAAAACGGGTGTACAGAGATGATTCTGATGGAGCGAAGGTATCGGAGAATCCCCCTGTTGCAGGTAGGTATGGTTCAAATCTTGGGCAAATGGTAGGAACTTTGGAAATTGGTGACTTTTAAGATCCAAACTTTTAGTTTTCCAAGCACTTCTTTCTAAAGGGTCAACAAAATTTGAGCCAATACCTTAAATGAATAATGCATATTTCCCAGCATGTCTGTTGGCAAATATTTCCACCATATATATAATTATATATATATATATCTTTCCTTATCCACAATGAGCTCTGTGATTTTCGGACAAGACGGTCCGAGATTTACCGGTGGTTAAGAGCTTAGCTAGACTGATACTTGTTGGTCATAAAGCCATTCCCATCCCACCACGTGGCTTGGCGGTGCAGTTCCAGTTATAAGTGGATGTACCCTTTGGTAATTTTAGCATCGCCGGAAAATCACCATTTTCGCAAACGGTCCATCATCTATCAATGTTGAGGTACCAGAGTTACCAGAGAGTGAATCTAAAAATAGTGGATAACACATATTATCAAACTTAATTAAGTGGATAATTAAGTAATCACTACCAGGAAAACAGCCCATAAAATTCCATTCATAACATCACTTGTCATCCCATCAATTCCCAGGAACACATCCCATAAACTTCCCTTGAATTACCATATAAGTGGACATATCCTTCTGGTAATTACCATTAATGGCAAATATTACCATTTTCAAGGGGTTTATATATAATTATACATATATATATATATCTGGTTGGTGGTTTCACACATTTTTTATTTTCCATAATATATGAGCCGTGGTTGTTCAAAGTGGGATTCCTCCCAGCTGGTCGGTAGGTTCTGCTGATCGTCCCACGCTTCTTTTCAGGTTGCCATGGAATCTCTTGGGAGCATTCTGACAGGTGACAAGATTGAGTTCACCATTGTTGAAAGGCTTCAGGTTGGGTTGTTCCGGTGTCTCCTTCACCCCAACACTGAGATTGTGCTGCAGGTTGATGGGAAGTGGGATCCTCATGTTGCTTCCTCTAGTAGTGCTACGCTCCTGGAATTTGAAGCTAGTTGGGCAAATGGTGTCATTCATGTGACCGCCAAGAAAGATGGTAGCAGCTGCCTGTTGCTGCATCCAAGTCAGAATCGTGGCCAAGTTCGAATTGCTGAGTTTTTTGGGGGGCTGGCTGGGTGGTCTTATGCCCTTCATGCCTTCGGTGTCGAACCGGCTGTGATCATTGAACGTGATAGCAAGGTTGCCAGTGCTTGTGCCCAAGCTTGGCAGTGCGATGTGATTGAACCTGAGACCTTTCTGGAACGTGCCCTTTCAGGTGATGTGAAGGAGTCTGTCATTGTTTGTGGTTGTGTTACCAATTCACTTATTTGGCAGGGTCTTGGAATCATGAATGTTGCTCATGGGATGGCCTCACCACCATGTCAGCCGTGGTCTGGTGCTGGGTCGGAACGTGGTACGAGGTCAGATGATGGCAAGGTCTTTTCTGATCTCTTGAAGATGGCAGGTAGGCTGCAATTGATGTCTCTGATGGCTGAGAACGTGCCAGCCATTGTCTCTCATGGTGACTTTCCAGGCATGATTGCAGGTGCATTGCTTGATGGCATGAAGATGGTAGTCAGTGGAGTGTACAGCTGCCAACGTATTTTGCCGGTGTACAGGGACCGCTGGCTTGCAACATTTTGTCATTGTACAGTCACCTTCGATCCCGAGATTGTACAAAGAGCTCAGGCGTTTTCATTAGCTTCCGGTAGCTTGTGTTTTCCAATGCCTGGTCCCTCCCTGCTTGCATCCGATTCCTTGCATCCGGCCTCAACATCCGATTTGCGTAATCATTTGTTGTTGAACGATGCTGCCTTGGAAATGCTGAAAAGAAGTGACCTTGTCCCCAAGTGGCTTGCCTCCAAGATCAACTGGTCTCTCGATGAACCCGTCCTGTCTGCTAGAATTGTCACGCCTGACATGAAGATGAGTGGGGTTATGGCCAGGTATGGGAGTCAGCATTTGTTGCCAATTGACCTTTTGCTGTCCAAGGGCTTGCAGACAGTTGTAGTGAAGGAGAATGGAAAGATCCGCTTTTTCTGCCCATGGGAAATTCTGGCTGCTCTAGGCTTTCCTTCGAAAGTTGTGATTGCAGCTGATTTGACTGATGCCTTTCAACAGGTTGGGAATTCCATCAGCCCGATTCATGCATGGATTCAGCTTTCCAAGACGCATATGTTGTTGGGTCATCTGTCCATGTTTTCTTTTGATGCTGATGTGTTGGCAGTACTGAAGAGGATTAGGGAGCAGTGCATTCGTTTATCTGCTTTTGAACCCTTTGTCGACGGTGTTTTTTCCAAGCTCAGGGACGTGTGCTTTGAGGATGATTTGCCATTGCAGGTGAAGCGCTCAAGGCAGTCCAGCGAAGTAGAAAAAGATGTGTCAGCTACCATTCCTTTCGTTGCTGAGGTAGATTGTCAAGCTGTTTGTACTGCTCCGATGAGTGAGAACTGCGTCTTTGCAATTGAAAAGTTTGATGGTTCCTTGCACAGCTTTTGCAAAGGAGGGCTTGCGTTCCTCAAGCATCACCAACACAATTGGATGGTAGTTGTCCACGGGGCGGTGGATGAAGCGTTGGACCAACTCATTGGACGGGCACTTCCACATGCCAAGAAAACCCATTTTGAGCATTTTCAGTGGATGGGTCGTGAGATTCAATGGCAGGACAACGTCACTTGTGCACCGCCTGCAACCATTCTTTTTCGACCTCTTGTGTTCAAAGTTGAGTGTGTGTTGCCGGATGGTCGCATGATTGAAATGAATGGTGATGTGACATGGACCATTCGGACTCTCATGGCATTCCTTGCTGCGAAACTCAAGTGTAATGTGGATATCCTGAAGGTTGGTTACAATGGTATTCCCACCAAGGCATGTGATTTTGTCACGGAATTTCCCATGCAAACCTTTCAAGTTTCCTTTCAAGCGTGTCTGCCAGGGTATGTTGCTTTTGCTGCAGTGGACCACAAATTGCAAGAAAAGGGTATGATCCCTGCACATGATGGCTGTGTGCGTTTTGTCGCAAAACATCCGGCTTTCAAAGTGATCAGAACTGCCTGTGTGCCAGTCGGATCCCCAATTGCTGCTGTGGTTCGAATCCTTTTCCCTGATTTGTGTGGTACCATCACCTGGACTGTGCATGTGCAAGGAACACCGTGCAGTGTTGAACAACCGGTTGATAAGCACACTACATTTGATGTGGAATGGGACTGCTTCAAGCCGTTGCCGCCTTCTGCAGTCAGTGCATTGTGTCTCCTTTTGCCAATTGATGCTGCCCAGATGCAAGTTAAACACCATGCCAGTCCCCAACGTTGGGTGAAGTCACCATTTCGTACGAAAGCGCAGATCCTTCGCACTGATGAGAGTATCACGCTCATGCAGATGGCTGCCTCATTTATTGCACATGCACAGCTTGATTTGAACATGACTTGCCATGTTGATGGGATTTTGACAGATCCTTCAATTTGTCTCAGCCAAGTTTCCACACAGCATGTCATTTGTTTCAAAGTTGCTCCTCTTTTGGGGGGTGCCAAAAAAGCCGATACCATCAAAGCCAGGGTTGTCAAAGTGCTGGAGCAACATGGTGTCTCTAAGGACGCTAGCAATGATAGAGCGGGATCCTTGTTGTCCAAGGCCGATTTCGAAACCATTGCCAAGGCTGAATCAGGGACGGATGATGACTTTTGGGCTGCCATGAAAACTGAGGCAAACCGAGTGAACTTCCGACTTGTCTTCAGAAATGAAATGCAGCAGGCAAAGATTGATGGTCGTAGGAAGCCACCCTCCAAGCAGGCTCGAAAGACCAAGACTGCAGGTGCACATGATGATTTCATCCCCAACTCTTCAAACGTTGTGATTGACATCAAGCACTTCAAAGATGGTGATGACAGTATCGAAATGATTGAGACTGCCAGGTTTGGACCTGATCGAAGGGGTCTGGCTGTGATGAGTTTGGAGGAGGCTGACAGACACCCACAGGGGTCATCCATGAGTGTTGATGCGCTTGCTGTGCTGATTGTTGGCAAAAAATTTGGTGCTGCCGATGCTCCCTTCAATATGCCAGCTGTCACTACGCGTGGTGAGCCTGTTGTCATCCAAGCTGCCCTCCGACAGTTTGGTGATCGGGAGGTTTCCTTTCAACCTGCCGTCCCATGTGCTGATGTTGCATGTGCTGCGTCGACAGTAGTTGAATTGCACATTTACAAAAGTGAGGTGGGTTCCTGGAAAGAATGCTCCGTGCCTTTGCATTATTTGGGAGTTCACATTTCTGCTGTTCGAGGGTCTAGTCTGATTTCTACTTGGTCCATGAAGACTTGGAAAAGTACCAGGCAACCATCACCCTTCAAAGAAGCTGATTACTGGCATGGTTTCATTCGTGTCCCAGATGATATCCTTGATCAGGTCTTGTGTCGATCGGGATATGCTGGCATTTTTGTCTCCCCAAAGGATGGCAACCGCAGGCATGACGACCGTTTTGCTGTCATAGCCATGCCTGATTGTGGGCTCACGGAAGTTCAAAAGAAGGCAGCTGCACAAGAAAAAGCACTTGGAGTCGTGAGATTGCGTGATCAATTTGGCATTCGATGCAGACGTGAGTACTCATCATCCCTCAGAGCCATTCTCCTACCCGAGTCTGCATTCGTAGACACTGCAGGTATCAAAGCCGATGAAACCATGTGGGTTTTGAAAAACATGCCAGCTGAGGTAGGTAAGGAAGGTCTGCTTGATGCTTTGCAAAGAGCTGGTTGGGATGCCCAACCTATCCGGGCCCAAGGGCAGAATCGTTGGTTGGTTGCTGCCCGCGACACCCCAGAATCGAAACATTTCTGCATCAATGGGTCATATGTTTTGGTGGAACCTGTCAAAAGACACAGAGATGGCAATGCTGTTACTATCACTGCCAAGCAAGTCAAAGTTGACACTTTGGTCAATACTACCAATGGCAATGTTCAGATTGCGGCATCGACCAGAATTCAAGAAGTCAAAGCTGAGATCAGCGAGCAACTTGAGATGAAAATGCAAGCCGCGAATGAAAAGATTGCCATGTTGTCCTCGCAGTTGGAGAACTTTCAGATTGCACAGCAGCGGAAAGATGAAGAAGCTCGTTCTGAACTGCAACAGGTGCGAGATGAGCAGGCCTTTGCTCGTCAGAAAATTGGTGAGGTAGAACAGTCTGTAGTGCACAGTGGTCAGACTGTCATTGCGACTATGCAGCAAATGATGGCCAGTTTGGAAACAAACGTTAAACAATGGATGAGTCAGAGCTCGGTTGGTGATGATGGAAAGCGCAGCAGGACTGATCAGCCAGGACGTGCCGACAGCTTTGCGACCAAAAGTTGACGGGGAAGGCAGGGAAAGCAAGCAAGGATGTTTTCTAGCGTCTGCCTTAGATCCATCGTCCTTGCCATGATGTGCGTGTCCAGTGCATGTTGTTTTCATAACAGCTCTGACCTTGAACAACCGAATGCCCCATTTTGGGATGATGTGCTGCATGTGTGTCCTGACCAGGGGACAGAATTTGATTTTCCTGCAGTGAATGCCAAGAGATGGGTTTTTTCAGACCCGTTGTGTTCCAAGCGTAACTTGTGCAGAGTTGGTGAAGCTGACAATCCAGGACCCTTGCGTGTTGGCTCATTTAACCCTCACCAGTTGTACAATAAGGAAGAGGTGATTGCAGAGTGGGGTGAAGGGATTTGGGGGGGTGCTGAAACTTCACACACTGTTGATGCTATGCGGGTATCTTCAGCTAGGTTTCGCAAAGCCGGATTGTTTTCCAGATGGAGCCCTCCCGTTGCCAAACATACCAACAATGCAGGCCTCATGCGGGGTCGTGCTTCCGGCACTTGCTTAGTTTCGCATTTGAAGTTGAAGCCCTATCCCAGTATGTTGTCCTCCCTGGCCGACTTGTCATCTCGTCTTGTTGAAGGCGTTGTCAACATTGGCGGTGGTGTCAATATGTTCGTTGCGTCTGTGTATGGTCCTACCCACACAGTGACGTTCTTTGATCCATGGACTGTCTTGTCAAGGCTTTGTGCTGAAGTTTTTGACCATGCCTTGGCCTTTAAGGGTCCTGCAGTTATCATGGGTGATTTCAACGTAGAAATTCAGAACTTACCTAGATGGCCTGCTCTTCAGCGTGCCGGGTGGGTAGATGCAGCAAAATTTGATGCAAATCGGAGGCAGACTCTTCCACAGCCAACCTGTAAGGAGAAGACGCGCAAGTCCTTCATCTTAATCAATCCTATGCTTGTTCAGTCGTTGCTCTGGTGCGACATCATTGAAGAATTTGAGTTTGATGCACATCCTTTGCTTGCGGCTGATTTTGATTTGGAGGTGATGATCAAACCCTTTTCTCGATGGTGGTTACCCGCTACCACTGACAATTTTCTTTTTGATCATGATTTGCTGGAAAGTAATGCAGATGCATGTGTTGCTGCGAGAGGGGAGAAGTTTCATACTGCAATCCAAAGAAAAGATGGTGAGGAAACTTTGCGACAACTCAACCTTGCGTTTGAAGAGTGTTTGAGCAATTCTTGTGTTGACTCTGTTGGACATAGAGTGGTCTTGCCTCAACGATGTCTCGGCAGGTGTCGCAAAAGCACCAAGCGATTGTCCAATCCCAGTGCTCCTATTGTCAAACATGCACGGCAGGGTCATTTTAATCCTGATGTTTGTCAACCTTCCTCCATCATACGTAGCATGGTGAAGCAAGTTCGTCGATTGCAGAGCCTGGAATCTCAACTGCAGGCTTGTCTCAGGAAAAGTCATGAAGAGCCATCGGAAGTTTGTAGGAACTTGTGGACTTCTGTTCTTCAAGCACGAGGATTCTTTCCCTCTTTCCAGAGCTTCATCCTTACTGAGTTTGGAGTGTTTGTCCCAATTGGTTGCCCTAGGGTGGAGTATGTACATTACCTTGTCGTGACTTTGCAGGAGCATGTCCAGAAAATTGTTGCCGAAACCAACAAGTCATTGCGATTTGCCAGGGAATGCAGGGTTTTGAAAGACATCCAAAAAGGGGGTTCTGAAGCCTACAAAGCGGTCAAGGACCCTAGTGCGCCACCCTTCCATGCCATCACTCAAGAAATCACTGCCAAAGTGGTGCCAATGAGGTGGTCTAAAGAAGGACAATGTCACTTGAAAGTTGGAGAAGTTCAGGAGGGCTTTGACTTTCAGTTCCCAGCATATTTTCAGGGGCAAGAATTCTTTGTCCGTGAAGTTAAAGGTGCTTGGTGGATCTTGGATCGTAAGGTCAAATGGAAATCCACTACTGACTGGAAGGTTGTGCAATACAAAGTCATTGCTGACCGTGGAAAGATGCATGATCTCACCGGTGCAGCTTGGTCGAGAATGTGGCAGCGAGAGTCGGTTGGTGATTCTGAAGCGGACTGGGAAATGGCTTTTGCCGAGTTGCATCACATTCGTGATTTCTCTTGTATGCAATTTCAAAAGTTGGATGCCGTAGAGTGGAAACGTCATGCTGCGACGGTGCCTAGAAAATCTGCAAGAGGTTCTTGTGCGTACACGCCTAGAGAACTACTCCTCATGCCAACTGCTCTTGTTTCATGGTTGCTTGACATGATTGATGCCATTGAACATGGTGTTTTTCTTTGGCCCAGGGAGTTGATGGTTGCGAGGGTTGTCATGCTGGCTAAATCAGCCGAACAGCCGACATGTCCCTTGAAGATTAGGCCCATCACTATCACTTCTAGGTTGTACCGCAACTGGTCCAGATATCGGTCAATGCAGATCATTCAACATGTCCGTCAGTTCATTCCACCACATGTTGCGGGTTGTGCTGCGGGGATTGGTTCGGATATGCTTGCTGCTACGATCATGCTGGAAGTGGAGAAAGCTTTGCTGTGTTCTACACCCCGTTTAGGCCTCACAGTGGACCTTATCAAATGCTTCAACCTTATTCCTCGGATACCTGTGATTGCTGCCATGAGACGTATGGGTATCCCTCATCAGTATTTGGTTGCATTGCAGGGGATGTTTTCTCAGCTTAGACGTGTACTTGAACTTGGTGGTGAGATTGGGCCTGAATTGGCTTCAACGACTGGAGTACCTGAGGGTTGTGCCATGTCTATTGTGGCAATGACTGCACTTTCTGCTTGGGCTGCGAGTATACTTCAATGTACGGATGATTATTCCAATACGTTGTGTATTGCATACGCCGACAATTGGGGCTTTTTGGCTGATACTATTGGACAATTACAAACTGGTTTGGACAAACTGCATCAGTTTATTTGTGCCTTAAAAATGAAGATTGCGCCTGACAAGAGCTGGTCATGGGCGACACATGCTAAACAGAGAGCTCAACTGAAATCTTTATCGCTTGATGGTCAGAGTGTGCCCATTCGGCATGTAGCCAACGAGCTTGGTTGTGATGTCTCTTATTGTAAACGTGTGTCCAAGGCTGTCACCAAAACTCGATTGCAGAAAACTGTCAGGGTTCTTCACAGAGTTTCAGCTAGGAAGTTGCCTAGAGTGTTTAAAACCAGAATGACAAAGCAACTGGTGACAGGTGTTGCTGGTTACGGCAGTGAGCTGGTGTACCATACTCCGTCCGATCTCAGGACCTTGAGGTCTGCAGCTTGCAAAGCCATTGGGAGGTCCAGAGCTGGTAATAACCCTTACCTGGCCATGCATGTTTCTGAAGGATTAGAGGACATTGCCCTTTCACTTTTGATTCGGAAGGTCATGTTTTGGCGGAGGTATTTCCGGTCGTTCCCTACGATTAAGTCTGCCTTTTTACAGGCGTTGGTAACTGGTCAACACAGGAATGGAGCTACTGCCTTTTTGAGACGGACTTTCTTGGATCATGGTTGGACTTGTCATCATGGTGGGCTCATCGTGCACCATCGTGGTTGGAAAATGAACTGGACGACAGCAAGTCGACATCACGTGCGTAAGTTGTTTTCTTTGTCATGGTCTGCTATGGTATGCTCACACGTGTCTCATAGAACTGGTTTTGACGCTTTGTGTGTGGACGTTCCTGCAGTGCACTTAGCCACTTCCAAGCTTGGGGACGCTGCAAAAACTGATGCGTTGAATTTGGCCACAGGTAAACATGTCACTAACGACGCTTTGGTGCACTATGCTAAGGGATCTTCCAGCAGCAAATGTCCCTTTTGCAATGTCAAAGATGGTCGTACACACCGTGTGTGGCATTGTAGTGGTACAAAGCAATTTCGAGAAAGGTATCCTGAGGTTATGGAATGGCTATCCAATCAAGACACAGTTGTTGCGCAGTGGGGCTTGCTTCCGATTGAGCTGGATTGGGCTGATTGGAGATTTGAAAGCAGTGACCCTATTCCTGTTGTGCAGATGCCAGAGCGTATGGCTGGAGATATGAAGGATGTTTTCACCGATGGAAGTGCTGTTGGACAAGGGTTGACTGGCTTCACTGTTGCCACCTCAGCTTATGTTCAATGTGAGACCTATCAGGTGATTACGAAATGTGCGGAAGTTGTGCCAGGAAACGATCACTCTTCTTACAGAGCTGAGGTTTGGGCTGTCATTATGGCTTTACGTGATTTTTATAGATTGCACATTTTCACTGACTGTGCCAGTGTTTGTGATAATTTGAGTGCAATCTTTTCTGCATTGCGTTCACAGTCGATACCCAAGTTTTCTGATCACGAGGACCTTTGGATGCTTGTTTGGCAGTTGCTGCGTCAACGTGACTTTGATGCTGTGAAGATTACAAAGGTGAAAGCACATCGCAACCCCAAGCATGTTTTTGATCCTTATGAACGCTGGATGGTCGTGATGAACAACAAGGTTGACAGTTTGGCGAAACGTTTCATGCGATCATACTTTGGTCTGGATCTTGATGCCATAACGGATCGTATTCACACACGTGAGCATGATGTTTGCATGTTGAGTAAGTTTCTTGAAATGTGGAATCTGATCAATGAGCAGGCCATTAAGGTTTGTAGAAGGGATTCCACCCCAACTGTTGTGACTTCCTCCTTCAAGTTGTTCTTCGATGCCGCTCATGCTACAGTTGTTCCTTGCGTTGTGGACGCGGATACCATTAGGGCTTGTGACTATGGGAGTGTTTTTGCTGAACGTGTTGTGAGATATTTTCATAACTTGGAATGGGACTACACTCAGCCCGCAGTCAGTATGTTGGAACTTTACATCGATTTTGCATTGTGGTCTGGAACCATTGCGCCGGTTCTCTTTCGCCATGGTGCCAAGAGGTGTTACAAATTACCTGACATGTGCCCGGAAGCTGATGTTGTCCCGACAACGCTTCGTGAGCAAAGCCGAACATGGACCAAGATGCTTGCATGGTTACGTTGCCATTGTGATAGTGCTCCACCTAAACCTTCGACTTCATGCCGTAGTCTTGTTAAGGTTGGGTACAGTCAACAGCATTATGGTGTTCCCGGTACACCGAAGTTTCGGAGTGGCATGAAAGTTCTTGAGGTGCTTTGGGAATATTTTCACACTAGTAAAGGTGCATCACAGAACATGAACCGCAAATGGAGGGTGCATCGCTCTGAACTTGGAGGAGCCTAATTGGCCCATGACCACAGTTTTGTCAGGCAGTTGTCACTGCTTGCGCTGGCTTGTTTGGATGTGTGCAATTTCGTTTGACCCTCCCTTGTCATGGTGCTCTTTGTGTCGTCCCGTGTCTCCTTGTCCAGTTGCATCCTTGCATCCGACTCCAGTGTTTCCTACACACTGGATTGCATCCGTGTAAATCTGCATATTGCCAAGTCCTGAATTGTCAGTGTACGACACTGACTTGTTTTTGGTTGCATCCGGCAATACTTTGTTGTTTGCTTGTCGGTTGATATGGCATTCGTAATTAGATCCGATGCACGTGCATCCGTTTCGTTGTTTCAATTCGTTTGCGGTTTTCTGCGTGCATGCCTCGACACCTCGTGTACAGGCAAGCCAGGTCCAAATTATTCTTATGTTGTGACGCAATTGCTGCACAACAGGAGTGTCGAACCAAGACAGGCGAGGTGAAAGTCCATGAAAATTCCATAATATATGGGATGTGATCCTTCCCATTGACTTTCATATTTTTCAAGATGGTTGAAACCACCAACCAGATATATATATATATATATGGTATATCATCATAGGGTTTCTAGTCTAGCCCACCTCATAGAGGTCACGCCATGGTGCCCAGGTGCTGGACGACAACAAAATGCTTTGCCTGGCGAATGGTGAGCGAATCAAGCGACCTGGCGAGTCATCACTGGCCATATGTTCGATTTATCCCATGATTGTCCCTTTAATAAATGGAGGTTTTGATAAGATTGTCACCATAAATAAGGTATATGGATATTACCATGGATAATATGGTGATAATATGGTGATAATAATACGGTGATAATATGGACATGGATCTTAGGCAAAAATGTGGGACTAAGCAAACATGATTGGACTTTAAACAACAAATTGATGGGATTTTAAGCAATAAACAATTGGATCATGGGCAATACACATTTGATATCATTTGATTGAGCAACACAAAATAGGATTTGAGGCATCTAAGATGGACACCACTTGTCATTTTTCAAACCTTTTTTTGGGGGTTCAATGCTAGATTTCAAGGGGTACCCCATCCGATCCTCCAGCAGATCTTCATCGAAAGCCAAGGAAAAAAATGTTGAGAATATCTGGAGAATTTGAGGAAATATTTTGTTGTGACATCTCTGAGATATGGATATACTTGGATAAATGAATTGCGTGGGGTGATCGTCCAAATAGGCAACATACTTCCCACTCTGTCTCTGAACCAGGTAGATCATGGTAGATCCATGTTCCGCTAAAGCCGTCCTGCGACCAGCAACCCATGTTCACCACGTGGTGGAAGGGTGACAGTTTGGTTCGAGATTCATGCGAGGAAATTAGAGTTTTGAAGTGTTTTGAATATAAATAAATTTGACAATTTGATACATGCTTCATGTCAGTGTAGCCGTGGCAAGCGGTCGCAGTGAGACATTTTCACTCCCGCAGTCCTCCAAAGTTGGGGACTTGAGGCTTCTGGCGCAGAAATTCTTTCAACTTGGCTTTTTGAAGCTCGTGGACGCAAAGTATCGCGTGCTGCATCCTGAGGAGTTTCTTCAAGCTGTAGCACTTGAAGAAGGAGACCGCCTGACAGCCATTGCCACAGAGGTCAAGGCAGCAGCAACAGCTGGATCTATCGTATTGTTTTGCTGTGAAGCTGACCGGGTTGTGACTTGGGGCTATCAACATGAAGCCCATCGTTTCTACAACGCCTGGTACCGATGTCCCGTCCCATATCAGCTCAAAGGTGTCCAACAGGTTCAAGCAACGCGAGATGCATTTGCTGCAATCTTGGCTAATGGGTCAGTTGTGACTTGGGGCAGGTCAGATTTTGGCGGTGACAGGTCTCCCGTCCAAGATCAGCTCAAAGGTGTCCAACAGATTCAAGCAACTGACTATGCATTTGCTGCAATGCTGGCGGATGGGTCAGTTGTGACTTGGGGCAAAGAAGAGTCTGGTGGTGATAGCTCTGCCGTCAAGAATCAGCTACAAGGCGTCAAACAGATTCAAGCAACCAAGTGTGCATTTGCGGCAATCCTGGCCGATGGGTCAGTTGTGACTTGGGGCACAGAAGAGTCTGGTGGGGATAGCTCTGCCGTCAAGAATCAGCTGAAAGGCGTCAAACAGATTCAAGCAACGACGCGTGCATTTGCTGCAATCCTGGCCGATGGGTCAGTTGTGACTTGGGGTAGTAGATTTGATGGTGGCGACAGCTCTCGGATCCAAGATCAGCTCAAAGGTGTCCAACAGATTCAAGCAACTTCAGCGGCATTTGTTGCAATTCTGGCGGATGGGTCAGTTGCGACTTGGGGCACAGTAGAGTCTGGTGGTGATAGCTCTGCCGTCAAGAATCAGCTACAAGGCGTCAAACAGATTCAAGCAGCAAAAAATGCATTTGCTGCACTCCTGGCTGATGGGTCAGTTGTGACTTGGGGCAGTTTACATTTTGGTGGTGACAGCTCTCACGTCCAAGATCAGCTCAAAGGTGTCCAACAGATTCAAGCAACTGACTATGCATTTGCTGCAATTCTGGCGGATGGGTCAGTTGTGACTTGGGGCACAGAGGAGTCTGGTGGGGATAGCTCTGCCGTCAAGAATCAGCTGAAAGGCGTCAAACAGATTCAAGCAACGACGCGCGCATTTGCTGCAATCCTGGCCGATGGGTCAGTTGTGACTTGGGGTAGTAGATTTGATGGTGGCGACAGCTCTCGGATCCAAGATCAGCTCAAAGGTGTCCAACAGATTCAAGCAACTTCAGCGGCATTTGTTGCAATTCTGGCGGATGGGTCAGTTGCGACGTGGGGCTCTCCAGATCATGGTGGTGACAGCTCTGCAGTTGCAGACCACTTGGCATTTGTGTAGCTACATCTGTGCACGTTTGCCATTTGGTTCACAGCAATTCTGGTGCCTCGTTTGCCTTGTTCGATAGCGTTTGAGGGCACAGGATGTACCATTTCAAAATTTCTGGTGCCCACTTTGTTCCCCTTGGGGCTTTCATCCCCCCATGGATGCCATGGGAAAATCGTGGCATGGAATCCATCCCCATGTGATCCGAATTTTCCCCTGGCTCCCCATATGGGGCTTTCATCCCACATGTTTGGGGGAATCCCCTGTGCAATCCCGACTTTGGGATGGTCGTCTATAAATATCCATGTGGATATCCATTGAGACAAACATAGTTATCCATAGAGAACCGTACATATCCTGGATGGATGACCATAAACCATATGTAAACCATATAGAATCATATATAAACCATATATAAACTATAAACTATAAACCACATAAAACCATATACCATGTTTTGACCCTAGCACATATAAATTTCAACCATCCTGTCTTTTATCAGTTCGACCCCCGAGAATTGCCCCCGAGAAGTGCAATACAAATATTATGGATTCTCCATGAATATCAAATGAAAGAGCGATGAATTTTCTGCATCACCAAATAATGGTTCTTATATTGCACAGAGTCTTTTTTGTGAATTATATTTAAGGGCTGCCGCCCCTGCCGCCGACCCCGGAAAAAGAGAGAGCGATACCACTGTTTGCACAATGAGACACAGCACCCTCCTGCTGCTCCTGTTGCTCCTGCTGCTGCTCTTCCTCCCGAAGCTGAAAACGCACGCACCCTGCCGGACAGGGAAACACAGTGGCTCTGAAGGACGGAACAGTGCCAAAATCGAGCCCAAAAACTGTCTAACGTCCCTTCTGGAACCCTAGAAAAACAATAGTTTTCGACCAGTTTTATTACCACTGGTTGTACAATGAGACATAGAACCCTCCTGCTGCTCCTGTTGCTGCTGCTGCTCTTCCTCCCGAGGCTGAAAACGCACCCTGCCGGACAGGGAAACACAGTGGCTCTGAAGGACGGAACGGCGCCAGAATCGAGTCCAAAAACTGCCTAACGTCCCTCTGAAACCCTAGAAAAACAATAGTTTTCGACCAGTTTTTATACCACTGGTTGTACAATGGGACAGGGAAACACGTTTTTATACTACTGTTTGTACAATGAGACACAGAACCCTCCTGCTGCTCCTGTTGCTGCTGCTGCTCTTCCTCCCGAAGCTGAAAACGCACCCTGCCGGACAGGGAAACACAGTGGCCCTGAAGGACGGAACAGCGCCAAAATCGAGCCCAAAAAGTGCTAACGTCCCTTCTGAAACCCTAGAAAAACAATAGTTTTCGACCAGTTTTTATACCACTGTTTGTACAATGAGACATAGAACCCTCCTGCTGCTCCTGTTGCTGCTGCTGCTCTTCCTCCCGAAGCTCAAAACGCACCCTGCCGGACAGGGAAACACAGTGGCCCTGAAGGACGGAACAACGCCAAAATCGAGCCCAAAAAGTGCCTAACGTGTCGTCTAAAACCGTAGAAAAACTGTGTCAAACATCGCCTTCCTGCTGCTGTGCTGTGCTGATGCTGCATGGTGTGTATACTGGTGCTTGGCTGCTGTTGATGCTGCTGCCTAGTGCTGCTAATGCTGCAAAGGCAGCCCTCCCGGACAGGGAAACGCAGTGGCAGTGAAGGACGGAACGGCGACAAAATGTAGCCCAAAAACTGCCTAACGTGTCGTCCATGTCGTCTGAAACCGTAGAAAAACTGTGTCAAACATGGCCTTCCTGCTGCTGTGCTGTGCTGATGCTGCATGGTGTACTGGTGCTCGGCTGCTGTTGATGCTGCTGCCTAGTGCTGCTAATGCTGCAAAGGCAGCCAAATGTATTATTCCCTGGCGCGCTCCCCCTTGCGTCTGCCGGGGTCGGCGGATACCACTGTTTGTACAATGAGACATAGAACCCTCCTGTTGCTCCTGTTGCTGCTGCTGCTCTTCCTCCCGAGGCTGAAAACGCACCCTCCCGGACGGGGAAACACAGTGGCCCTGAAGGACGGAACAGCGCCAAAATCGAGCCCAAAAAGTGCCTAACGTCCCTTCTGAAACCCTAGAAAAACAATAGTTTTGGACAAGTTTCTATAGTTTTCAACCAATTTCTATACCACTGTTTGTACAATGAGACATAGAACCCTCCTGTTGCTCCTGTTGCTGCTGCTGCTCTTCCTCCCGAGGCTGAAAACGCACCCTCCCGGACAGGGAAACACAGTGGCCCTGAAGGACGGAACAGCGCCAAAATCGAGCCCAAAAAGTGCCTAACGTCCCTTCTGAAACCCTAGAAAAACAATAGTTTTGGACAAATTTTTATAGTTTTCAACCAATTTCTATACCACTGTTTGTACAATGAGACATAGAACCCTCCTGTTGCTCCTGTTGCTGCTGCTGCTCTTCCTCCCGAGGCTGAAAACGCACCCTCCCGGACAGGGAAACACAGTGGCCGTGAAGGACGGAACAGCGCCAAAATCGAGCCCAAAAACTGCCTAACGTCCCTTCTGAAACCCTAGAAAAACAATAGTTTTGGACCAGGTTTTATGGTTTAGTTTTCGACCAATTTTTATACCACTGTTTCTACAATGAGACATAGAACCCTCCTGTTGCTCCTGTTGCTGCTGCTGCTCTTCCTCCCGAGGCTGAAAACGCACCCTGCCGGACGGGGAAACACAGTGGCCCTGAAGGACGGAACAGCGCCAAAATCGAGCCCAAAAAGTGCCTAACGTCCCTTCTGAAACCCTAGAAAAACAATAGTTTTGGACAAGTTTTTATAGTTTTCAACCAATTTTTATACCACTGTTTGTACGATGAGACATAGAACCCTCCTGTTGCTCCTGTTGCTGCTGCTGCTCTTCCTCCCGAGGCTGAAAACGCACCCTCCCGGACGGGGAAACACAGTGGCCCTGAAGGACGGAACAGCGCCAAAATCGAGCCCAAAAAGTGCCTAACGTCCCTTCTGAAACCCTAGAAAAACAATAGTTTTGGACAAGGTTTTATAGTTATAGTTTTCGACCAATTTTTATACCACTGTTTGTACAATGAGACATAGAACCCTCCTGTTGCTCCTGTTGCTGCTGCTGCTCTTCCTCCGGAGGCTCAAAACCATAGAACCCTCCTGCTGCTCCTGTTGCTGCTACTCTTCCTCCGAATGCCGAACGTAACTTCTGAAACCCATAGAAAAGAAGAAGGATGGAACGACCTCCAAAAACATGCTGTCCCGAGGCTTGACGTCTCTTCTGGATTCTGGTAAAAACAAAGCGCCTGCTGCTGCAGATGCTTTTGCTGCTGCTGCTGTTGGTCCTCGGATGGGAACATAACAGCTGCTACTGCTGCTCCTGCTGCTGGTGCTGCTGGAGCAGGTGCTGCAAGCCTCCGAAACACAGCCTTCGCCACACCGAAACACTGTACTGCAGCTGCTGCTGCTGCTGCTGGTGATAGTTTTCAACCAGTTTTTGTACCACTGTTTGTAAAATGAGACATAGAACCCTTCTGCTGCTCCTGTTGCTGCTGCTGCTCTTCCTCGCGAGGCTGAAAACGCACCCTGCCGGACGGGAAACACAGTGGCCCTGAAGGACGGAACAGCGCCAAAATCGAGCCCAAAAAGTGCCTAACGTCCCTTCTGAAACCCTAGAAAAACAATAGTTTTGGACAAGTTTTTATGGTTTTCAACAAATTTTTATACCACTGTTTGTACAATGAGACATAGAACCCTCCTGTTGCTCCTGTTGCTGCTGCTGCTCTTCCTCCCGAGGCTGAAAACGCACCCTCCCGGACGGGGGAACACAGTGGCCCTGAAGGACGGAACAGCGCCAAAATCGAGCCCAAAAAGTGCCTAACGTCCCTTCTGAAACCCTAGAAAAACAATAGTTTTGGACAAGGTTTTGTAGTTTTCAACAAATTTTTATACCACTGTTTGTACAATGAGACATAGAACCCTCCTGTTGCTGCTGCTGCTCTTCTTCCGGAGGCTCAAAACGCACCCTGCCGGACAAGGAAACACAGTGGCCCTGAGGGATGGAACAGCGCCAAAATCGAGCCCAAAAAGTGCCTAACGTCCGTTCTGAAACTCTAGAAAAACAATAGTTTTCAACCAATTTTTGTACCATTATTTGTACAATTAGACATAGAACCCTCCTGCTGCTCCTGTTGCTGCTGCTGCTCTTCCTCCCGAGGCTGAAAACGCACCCTGCAGGACGGGGAAACACAGCTGCTACTGCTGCTACTGCTGCTCCTGCTGCTGGTGCTGCTGGAGCAGGTGCTGCAAGCCTCCAAAACACACCCTTCGCCACACCGAAACACCATGCTACTGAAGGATGGAACGACCTCCAAAAACATGCTGCCCCGGGGCTTGACCTACTGCTGCTGCTGCTGCTGCTGGCTGCTGCTGCTGCTCCCGCTGCTGCTGCTGCTGGTGGTGTGCCGCCCCGAAGAACAACATTTTTGCAGCTACTGCTGTTGGTGGTGGTGCAGGCGTCCGCTGCGCTTCCTGCTACTGTACTGCAGCTGCTGCTGCTGCTGCTGCTGCTGGTGATGCTGGTGCTGGCGTCTGCTGATGCTACTGCTGCTGCTCCTGCTGCTGGTGCGGCTAAACTTGCTTGTCTTTGCTTTACTTCTCCTGTTGCTGCTGCTGCGCCTGCTGCGGTAGTAGTCCGAAACAAGAATCAAAAGTATTATTCCCTGGCGCGCTCCCCCTTGCGTCTGCCGGGGTCGGCGGATTCTTGTTCTTGTTCTTGTTCTTGTTGTTGTTGTTGTTGTTGTTGCATTTCTACCCTACAGGGTCGAATGTCTTATTCCCTGGCGCGCTCCCCCTTGCGTTTGCCGGGGTCGGCGGATACATTAACGATTAGATGATTGAGATGGTAAACATAAATTTTTGAATACGAAAAAACATCTAGAAACATCAGTTAATTGAATTTGTTTGCCTTACATGGTACTGTACCTCCACTTTCGGGTCCTCAAATGGTGATTTTTTTAGAAATCTGGCAGCGATTGAACGTCGGGTTTCACACCATGGAGAATGGGGATCAAGCGGGAAAACGATGGGAACATTGGGATATCATGGGAGTGTCACAGGGAACAGGGACTATCTTTTGGATGTGTTTTTGTTTTTGGATATCGTTAGAATGTTCGTAACTGAATATCGGGGAGGGAAACTCCAGGGGTTGCCTATGATCAATTTATGGGGCACCTCAAGTTCTCATCCAAATTCTTGGTCGTGGTGGTAAAGGCTACCCCTATTTTCGGATCCACAACGATAAACCAAAGTATCGTTGTGGAGGCACGAATCATCCCAAGTAGGGGTTTGGTAACCAACAAGCCACAGTCTGGGATTGTTTATCATTGTGGATCCCACTTTGAGAGAATATACGTCCGTATATGAATCATATTATTATATGAATATGTAAATACATGGAATCAACCATTTTGACAACTATGCATATATATATATATACATATATATATATATATATCATATGTAATGTGATATACACTAATATTAGTATACGTCCCATCATCCTTAAAAAAGTCTACTAATGTAGACACTCAGGACACATATTTCACTGGAAACCACTTGTTCTCAGGTTGCCACCCACCATGACGATGATGTTTGAAGTCCAGGATTTAAAGGCGCCGATATGGGGAGAACTGCACCTGGGATGACCCTTTAAAAGCGGTAAAAAAAAACATGATGGAAATTGGTGAGTGAAACTCACCGCGATAGAAAAAATCCGATGTGTTCCCATCTTTCGATTGTAAACAAGATAAGATTAATTGATATTCATTGATATTTTTTTGTTTGTTTTTCGTTTTTGGAGCATCCATGTTCAAAAGACAGTCTGGTTTTCAAGGGGCCTAAGAAAAATCGACTCGTAGCAATCATGTGTCTAAGTCTTTGAGTCTGCCGTCGCTGAAAACAGCCCGGCTGCAGAAGAAACTATCTGGGCAATAGTGATCTCACTACAGCCTCCCTGTACACTGTGGTTGGTAGGAGTCTTCTTCCAAACATGTCAATGTCTGATTTCACTTTCCAGATTCTGCAACAATATCGTGACATATTCCTACAAACTACTCGATAACACTGTATCACCACGGTTGTTCACTGAATCCCCATGTTGGTTTCTGAAGATCTCACATTGCTTCTGGAATCAGCAAGATGGGTAGCAACTGAACAGAACTGCACCGCATCTCCAAGCTAGTGGGTCGTGTCAAGTTCCTCCCATTAAAAGCACATCGGTGGGCTCAAATATAACAGAATTATATAGATTTATAACTAAACTTTAAAAATTGTGGTTTAGAAAATACAAAGAAAGACAAGAACACGTGTCCCAATGTTTCTCCAAACAAGTAGGGTATCCCAAACTTTTGGGCATTAAACAGGTTAAACATGAACATGTTCACCCTGATTTTGTGGTGGGGTACCCCTTTTTTTTGGAATCAGAAAATTATTTTGCCACAACTTCTCATGGCATAAAATGTCTCAACTCTTCAGGTGGCATCGCCTGCAACCATCAGCCGGTGCGGAATGGTCCGGAAGCTATGACAAGGGGATGGCTGGATCATTGCTTTTTGAGGGAAAAAATAGAGGGAACCCTGACCCTGCGTTTTTATCATCAAACAATTGGCCTTTCTGTAGATTCTCCTCTGAGTCAATTTTTGAGAATGAACTGTAGAGTCCACTTTCTACCTCAAAAAGGAAGAAAAGGGAGGCATGGCGCACAATTGGGCAACCCTGGGTTTTTCGGTTGACGCGGTCTGTCAAAATCGACTGACTTTTTTTTGGGGTTTTCACCGGGAACGGAAGTTTCCCACAACGGAACCCCAAACCTTGGGCGATCTGCCAGGGTAGCCGCTGCGGTGATCGATTATTGGGATCTGTCGAGGCAGTTGAGGCTCAGTACCCGGCGAGGTGTGTGTTTTTCTCGTAGAATCTGAGCCATGGAGCAGTTGCAGTTGCAGTGCCATGGCTGGGGCTGGGTTGGTGAAGCTGTATCTCTATCCATGGTTCTCCTATCCATATGTTTTACTGGGGACATCAGTAGGCTATAGAATCTACAATAGTTTTGGCTCCCCAAATACATGTTTTTTCCATGTTTTTTGTTGGGCCCTCATGCTGGTGGGTGATTCCGCAAAAGACTGGCTCTCAGGTATAAGAAGACATTTATCGACTGTGGCGATGCCTCAGCTCTTTGGACGGGACGCCCCGCGCGGGTTTGATTCCAAGAGAGATTCCAGCAATCGACGGGGGAAATGCCTCTGGTAAACATAGCGAACTGGAAAGACCAATCAACAAACTAAAGGGTCATTTTCAATTCAATAGCTACGTTTAATTACAGAGGGTTAGTTAGTCTGTCCTAATTGAATATCACCCAACAGTTGGGGATAATCTCAAAGAGATACTTGAATGTGATGTTCTAAATCCATCTAAATTCACAGAATGGGACATTTACCAAGCCATTTTTGGCGTGAACAATGTGACCCAATGCCACCATGACTCACTGTGGATGGTAAACATAGCAGCCATGGTGATTTTTCTTGAGGCTCTACTTCCCACGATTCCTGGAGTGTCTGATGATTTTGTAGTGCTGGACGATCCCTCATTGATTGATGTACAATTGGCTAAAGAATGTGTACAGATACATATATACAATCCATTGTGTAACATATTAATTATATGATGCATGTATGTGTATAGTATATATAATATATATACATATAATATATATTATATTAAATATATATAATATATAATATAATATATATATAATATAATATATATATATTTAATACAATATATAATAATATATATATATATAAATTTTTTAATATATATATTCTAATATACTATATATATAATATATTATATAATATATATAATATTATATTTCATATATGTATATATGACTTATGTCCGCATACACATCTACATAATCTTCAACATACTAACATGCAACCATGTTTCCCAGTGAAACATGTGCCTGAAACATTTGGCAGATCCCTTTGGATCGGCGGAAAACATGCGCCGATTTACGTGTTTCCAGGGCGGTGGGTTTGATGATGTTTTAGCCATATTCTGCAGGTGTCCAGCTTTTCTGCCTTGGAGGGGTGCTAGACACCAGAAGTGCAGGTTGCTATGAGTTAAGACTCTGGTACCCTAGGTACCCTACGTACCCTAAAAACAGCTGGTTAATGGATGTTTATTCCCCCAAATATGGAAAAAAGGGGTTTTGACCCATCCCAATGTGCTGATATATTATGATTTATGCATAATTACTGTAGCTGACCCCCAAAAAAAATCTGGGGTAGATTCGCCCCATCCTTCTCCAACTGAGGCTGCGGACACTCCACGTAGCAAGAGTCTTCCACCGAAAAACTCTGCCATTGTTTTAACAGAGGATGAGCGTTGGCGCAATCACTACGTCACTGGACTACGAAAGATGAAAGACTGGTTGGTGGTTTGGAGCATTTTTATTTTTCCATATATTGGGAATAATCATCCCAACTGACTTTCATATTTTTCAGAGGGGTAGGTCAACCACCAACCAGATGATGATGTTGGACTTTCCCATATTTATCCACCATGACTGGGGAGTCTAAGTGCTGGGAATAGTGTGTGTGTTTTGGCCTTTTAACAAACATCTATGGAATTGCTTGGTGTGGAATTCCATTAATGATGAATCTCCATGAAGGGCCATTGCCACCCAGCTAAACAGCCTTTAAACAGCTCCAAGTATGAAGGGCAAAATCACACAAGGATACATAAGGTCACATTAGAATCATTAGAAGATAGGTTCACGATACTCTGAAATTTCGTTTCGTGATTCCCCTCCGGAATTTTTATTGACTTTTGAGGGCAAAAGGGCAGCCCCTGCCTTTTCACCGCCTGGCTTAAAGTCCTCATCTTTCAATGACTATCGGGGGATTCCACCGATTCCACCCATTCAGGTGACCCCCCAGTTCGCAGCCGCGCAAGCGTCAGGTTGAAGGTTTGAAGGAGCGGGTGAGCGACGAATTCGAATGGCCCTCGGAAGAGGTTGAATGGACCTCCGGAAGTCTTGGGCACCCTGAACTCTGCGGCAAGCCTTGCATTCGCTGCTCGGCGCGATCGCGGATCCGCAAGGATGATCGGCGCAGGCAACGTTCATGGGGAATCATGGGGAATCAAACCAGCCATTCTTTTGAGTCAGAGAGTTATCATGAGTTATCCACGTATATCCACGTCATAGATTTGTGATGTCATGTTGGTAAAGCAATGTCATGAATCAATTTTTAAAATCACCCACATGGAGTGTTGGGTTGCGTGCCAATTTCTGCTACCATAAATTAAGCGATTTTTCCAGGCATTCTCCAAGCGCTGCAAAATTGGGATAGTAGCAGGAATAATACACATTAATAAACTATGATCCACTCAGCTGGAATGGTTGCCGTGGATGATTTCTTGTGTCATTTTTTTTCTCAATATTCGTTCCTCGGCCCGGTGCAGTGGTTCCCCCTGAGACATGTTCGCCTGGGCCAGTGGTAAATCCTCAGTCATCCTCATGTGCCAAAACTTTGCACTGTTTGCCAAAAAGCTTGTCAGTGACTAGGGCATTCTTACTACTTTCGTTTTGATTTGTGGTTATCAAACAGTTCTCCTCTCGCTACTCAACGTCAGATGGACCTTATACTTCAGTGGTTTGGTAGACATTGGTCGGATTGATTTATGGGCTAGGTTCGTCTCTGAATATACATATGAGTTACACGTAACATTATACATACAGACCCAGCTAAGTTTATGACTTTTGTATCGCTGAAATCGAAAATCAGACGGTCAGATAGGTCAGATCTTCATATTTTTGATGGTCAAAACTAGTCAAAAAGCCCCAGGTGAGGTGATGTTTCAAAGCTGCTGAGGCTTTTACTTCGGAAATTGCACCAAGGTTCAGTGGGGGAATGGCTTCCTCCCGAGCCAGATTCGGGACGATCAGAGGGTGTCAACCAAAAGCAGAGATTTACAGTACTACCCCAAATTAATGAATATTAGACGATATTGGCTTCCATATCCATCGATTTTTCATTTGGGTTTAAGGGAACATCATGGAACATCCACAGTTTTTTCTGCATCTAATTCGAGGACAACCAAGATGAATCACGAGTTAGCATGAAACCTTCACAAGTTTATGAAGCACCAAACATCTATAGGTGAACACCATCAAAAGCGAGGGTTTCACCAGCGAAAAGTGACAGCACCAGCTCGCCTGCGGGCCCCTGGGAAACTCGTTAAGAGCCGAAAGGGCACATGGCTTACACCCAAAAAACCACCAGGAGTGGCTTCAGATACGAATTAGTAATTCTACATCCACTGACTTCACTTGCCCGGAGGCTGTGGTTGAAATTTCATGAACTTGGACCTGAAAAATGACCTCATCCGGAGAGACCCACTACTGAACCCAGGTTTTTCGGGATGCCCTAAGGCGTTGATTCTTAGGGGGAAGGGCTTGGCTGGGCTGCGCAACCTTAGATCTTCAGCCATGGCAGGGTCTGCAGTGCCAGTTTTGCCACTTGGAGCATGTTGCTGGCTTGCACTAGCTCGGCGTGGGAGTAGCCGGGAATGCAGACCGACCAGACTTGGGTTTGGGTCCCATGAAAAGCTGGTACTTCAAACTGATGTATTGTCACAGGTTTTCCGGTTGGTACACTGATGTTTGCTGCTGGTTGGCACCTCGACCGTGTACCTGTTGCATGCAAAGTTGCCCTGAACAATGACCCGAGCCACCAGATCCCGAAGAATGGTTGAGTTCAGTTGAGTCCACAAAAGAATCCTTAAATGTAGTCTACTAGAGCCAGAACCTCATTTACAGCCGCAGGACGCCAGAATTTGTCTGAGGCCCCCAGGGGATGCCAGGTGAGTCAGGTGAGACACGAGCCTCGCCCTCGCCGTGCGAGGACGAGCCAAAGAGGAAGTTGGACAAGGTGCAGCGACGCAACCTGGACAACCTGAGCGAACCGCAGGCACCCGAACTGGGATGGCTTTTCTGTCATGTGGCTATGAATCAATACCTATGAAAATACCATTTTTAGAGGGATGAACATCCATAAATCCCAGCTATTCTTATGTGAACTACAGGGGTACAAGGTTTTGACCCACTGCCATGTGAAGTCAGACGTGAAGTCATGAGGATATCGCAGGGGGATTTCATGAAGATATGATGATTTTATAGAATGAAGATTTCCTGGGATATATTGGGAATGAGGATATGATGGGATGTAATGAGGATATACTGGTACACTGTAATTTTGGGATATGAGATGTATAACCAGCCATATGTGTGATCTTTGGGTGTGTTTGAAAGAGGGTGGTTGGGTCCAAAAACCAGTGGATTTGGGTGTGTTGATTCTCCTCAATTTCCCTAGCCTAATTGGGGTGTTGATTACTGTATGGTTGGGTAATTATATGACTTACTCAATTGGGTTTACCACATTAGAACCTTGGGAGGTATAGCCGATCTTTTCTACGGTGGCAACTCCCAACATCTTTTTGGGGAAACAGAACAGGTGGGCCTCTCTAATGCACGCAGTTGATATTAGATGCTGCTTGGGGTGGAGGAAGAAACCCAACGGGAGTCGCCAGCCCCACAGTTGGCTAACCCCTTGCGAGCTTCAGGGATTGTCAGATGTTTGTTGGCTAACCCCCCTGGTGTTGCTGAAGAATCCCCGGTTATGAAAACTCTTCCGTTGCCTCAAACCATTATTTTTTCGAATGAAGTCCCCAAAGATCTTGTTCCTGAACACCCAGGATTTTCCGAACGCTCCATTTTATCAACAGGCTGGTACCACTTTAAATACTAATCTATCACCAAAAAAAACAGGCAGGATTATTCTACATAGCATTGTAATCACCAAAATATCAGGAGGGGATGATTAAGGATTCCCAGATTTTTTTTCGAATCAGGGTTAACAAAAAAATCCCAGATCTCCCAGCAGCGAAAAGCCACAGGTTATCTCCCTTCTGCTTCATCAGCTCCAGACACGCAGTCGCCAACAAGGCCTCACGGCACCTTGGTGCGCAAGGCTGCAACCCATTGGGAAAAGATGGGGATCGATTTTTCGGGAATCAGCCCACTGGGCGTGGGTTTTTTTAGTGTTTTTATTTTGATGTTTGAGGAATGTACTGGAGGTTTAGTGCTTCTTTTTTGGGGATCTTTGGGGATCTTATTATATATTATATTATATATATATGGATCACATATAATTATATATATGTATATATAATATCTATATGTTATATGAAATTGGAACCCTGAAGCAGCATACTTTCATAGTTTTTGAAAGGGTGATCTACTGGGATTTTTCGTGGATGTCCATTCGTTGGATGTTTGCTGTATAGGCGGGGACGCCAATTTGGCGACACAAAAACTCCCGGGATGATCAAAGATTGGCGGTGGAAGATGCTGAGAAAACACAACGGGATGATTCAATTAAAGATAATGAACATGGACAACGGGGTATACCGTAATCTCTCCAAATGGTAGATTTAATAGGGGGCAATGATAATTGACCAATGGATTTAGCAGGTTACAATGTGGTAATTAAACATGTTTTGTTTTTCTTATGCTCAAAGAACGGTTGGTTGATGGGCAACTCATTTTGTCCCCTAACATTGGGTCCAATTTTAGGTTGTGGGCTTGAGTCAAACTTATTATATTTCTTTTGATGATTTTTGGGTAGTGTATAAACCAACTTGTAACTACATTGTCATTATGGATCAATTGGGGGTATACACAGTATACACCAATTTGAAGGTCATCGTCTTGTCATTGTCATGAGATTCAATTAGGTCCCAGGGATCATGCTTGTAATTCTAGTGCTCCAATCTCCAATCCCCCAGTGATTGGACGGGGTGCTTTGAGAAAATCCATCGACATTTACACTCCACAGGTGTCACTTGTGTCACTTGTCTCCAGTGTTCTCAAACATACTGGTCGCTGGTTGGAAAATCGCCATGTAACCAATAGCTACACCATCTATTTCTATGATCCAGAATTACCAGGCGGTCGGTTCTTTCTCAAATCTTTCGAAACGTTCGATCGTCGTATCCACCCAGATTCCCCGGGAACGTCCTGGGCCGCCAATGAAGCTGGTTTAGTGTTGAAGCTGTTCATTTGGGGTAAAAATCATCGAGTCAGATACGGTGAAAATATCAAATGTTGCTGAAAAAGCAATCCCTGGCCCCAAATATAGCTGGTGAAAAAAAACTCAAAAAAGTTATCACAATCGGCATGTTGACCAGCCAACATGATGTCTTTAGCTACTGTAATCAAATGTCATGTCATGTCATGGTATGGATGGTCTGGTGTGCTGTGGTCTGGTAATATGTATATTTACACTTGTTTACAATAATGTATGTATGTATGTATGTATATATATATATATAATAATATGTTTACAATAATCTGAACCATAACCATATATATATGTACATAATATATTCCCAAGGTCTGTCAATAGTATATAGTATACACATGGTTATTGTTCAGATTTTAAGACCTTGGGAATCACACGCCAAATCGCCTGGACCAGCGTGACTCCCAGGACCAGCTCATCCTTGTTCTGGCCTGCCTTCGCCGTGAGGCGCGGCGGGAAACGATGTTTTCTTTCGGAGTGAATCAGCACCCAACAAACCCAGGTCAACATTGGGTTTTTAAGCAGCTACAATTTGCTTAAAACATGACTCGATGACTTTGAAGATTCTTTTTTGATTGTTTTGTTTTGCCATTCAGCATCTATCCCCACCGGAATTCCTGAATAGATCCTCTAGAAAGAACCCGAGACCCCCAAAAAAGGCCTTTCAGAAAGAGTCGGTGCATTGCTACGCCACTTTACAGAGGCCACCCAACAGTTGATCCAAGTTCATCTCAATGAGTTGTGAGTCGGCGAAGGTTGGCGAAAGCAATTTTTCATGGTCCACATTTTCACCTTAATAGGATTTGGTTGCCGAACTTGTGATGATGACAATGATAATTCATGATGTCAATGATGCTGATAAGAACCATGCGTATATATATTATATATATATATATATGCATGTATATATTCTGGATGAATGATAAAGATCTCATTGCGACGACACTGAAATGCTTGGGTCAACGGGGCATCCCAAAATGGCTACACCTTTCCAAGTGAAATGCGGTCGTAAAATAGTGATGTTGGTGGCAATGATGATAGTACTCATAACACACCTATATACAGATACACATATTCATACATATTCATACACGTTTTTAAAATAGTATAATATATATATATATATATACATACACATAGAAATCACATATATGATATATATGATATATATATATAATATGAATTAATATGTATACACATTCAAAAACAGATACGCAAGTATACTATGTACAATACAGATACTGTACAGATACACAGGCCCACATTTATTCCATCGTCAAGTCCTCCAGGTTCGCATTTGGCGCTTGAACGACCGGCAGTTTGCAAGTAACGAGGCCCGCCTCAATCGCGAGCTCCGTGCCACCTTTGCCAACGTCTTCAAGAAACTCAGTGACTGGGCAAACTTTTGGCCTGGGGGGCTGTTGGTTGTTTAGACGTCCTGGGTCTTGAACAACAGAAAACCAGGGTTCAAGCAATGAAGCAATCGTATATTCTAATAATATTCATAAGCATAGCATGATAAACTCCCGGAAACAAAAGGGGGATGTTATTAGTCCAATGCAACTGGGATGTCAATATATCTATTTTACTAGTCCAACTGAAACATATTGCCAACCCAACTACAGTGACGGGGCCTTCATTTTTGGGTAGTTTTATGATGTTTTATGTATTATTTCCTGTAGTATCATCGGGATTTAGCCAGTGACCACTGTTTTTTGGGAATGATCATGTTTTCTTGGGTAGTTTTTTTTTTTTAATTAACGGTATACCCTCCAGTAAAGATACGTTAACAGTGTCAAAGAGCTATGGAAATCCATGGAAATCAACTCGACCTCCTGGGAGGTGACATTCAAAAAATGTCCGTTGAGGGGTGGTGGGGGATCCAGAATCAACAATCACCAGGAGTATTATACAATGGTTATTATGAAATATTATGAATACTATAACTATAATTACAATGGTTTATAATCATATAGAATAACTAGTGTTATTACCATTATAACTATTATTATAGAATAACTACAATGGTTTATAATCATTTTATGTATAGTATATATATATATTATACCATAGACCATTGTATACAGAAGAATGGTTTATGAACTTGTCTATACAGTATACTCCGAATTTTGGGGATAGTTTACCATCTGGGAATATCAGCCACCTGGTTTGCTTCGAAATGGCCATCCCCCATGGTTTGATCTACCCATACCATAAGGATTCTTACAATCATGGGATGCTAGGCAGAACATCAATGGCCAGTTGGTGTTTCTGAAACAGTGGCTTTTTTCCCCACCTGCCAGGTGAGGGTTGTTAGATTTTATCAGAGCTGTTCTCCTCCTCCTCCTCGTCCTCCTCCTCCCCCTAGTTTCTCCTCGACCATGTCTGCATCAACTTCCACCTCCACTTCCGCCTTGCCAACTCTTCGCCAAGCTCTTTGCCAACTTCCCAGCTCAGTGTGCACTGGGACCTCAACCTGGGACCTGCCCAGCTCAGTGTGCACCGCTGGACCTCAACCGGGACCTTCCCAGCTCAGTGTGCACCGCTGGACCTCAACCTGGGACCTGCCCAGCTCAGTGTGCACCGCTGGACCTCAACCTGGGACCTGCCCAGCTCAGTGTGCACCGCTGGACCTCAACCTGGGACCTGCCCAGCTCAGTGTGCACCGCTGGACCTCAACCTGGGATCTGCCCAGCTCAGTGTGCACCACTGGACCTCAACGGCCAGATAGAGTGCAAGAAGAGAACAAGATAGAATGTCAGAAAGAATGCCAGAAGATATGCCAGATAAAATGCCATGAGATATGCCAGATAAAATGCCATAAGATATGCCAGATAGAATGCCAGAAGATATGCCAGATAGAATGCCAGAAGATATGCCAGATAGAATGCCAGAAGGTATGCCAGATAGAATGTCAGATAGAATGCCAGAAGGTATGCCAGATAAAGTGCCAGAATGTTTGCCAGAACATATGCCAGAAGATATGCCACATAGAATGCCAGATAGAATGAATGCCACAAGATATGCCAGATAGAATGCCAGAAGATTTGCCAGATAGAATGCCAGAAGATATGCCAGATAGAATGTCAGAATATATGCCAGAAGATTTGCCAGATAGAATGCCAGAAGATTTGCCAGATAGAATGCCAGAAGATATGCCAGATAGAATGCCAGATAGAATGCCAGATAGAATGCCAGAAGATATGTCAGATAGAATGCGAGAAGATGCCAGATAGAATGCCAGAAGATTTGCCAGAAGATATGCCAGAAAATATGCCAGATAGAATGCCAGAAGATATACCAGATAAAGTGCCAGAATGTTTGCCAGATAGAATGCCAGAAAATTTGCCAGATAGAATGCCAGAAGATATGCCAGATAGAATGCCAGATAGAATGCCAGACGATATGTCAGATAGAATGCCAGAAGATATGCCAGATAGAATGCCAGATATGCCAGAACATATGCCAGAAGATATGCCAGATAGAATCCCAGAAGATATGACAGAAGATATGCCAGAACATATGCCAGAAGATATGCCAGATAGATTGCCAGATAGAATGCCAGAAGATATGTCAGAATATATGCCAGAAGATTTGCCAGATAAAATGCCAGATAGAATGCCAGAAGATTTGCCAAATAGAATGCCAGAAGATATGCCAGATAGAATGCCAGAAGATTTGCCAGATAGAATGCCAGAAGATATGCCAGATAGAATGCCAGAAGATATGTCAGAATATATGCCAGAAGATATGCCAGATAGAATGCCAGATAGAATGCCAGAAGATATGTCAGATAGAATGCCAGAAGATATGCCAGATAGAATTTGCCAGAAGAAGATATGCCAGGTAGAATGCCAGAAGATATGCCAGAAGATATGCCAGATAGAATGCCAGAAGATATGCAGATAGAATGCCAGAAGATTTGCCAGATAGAATGCCAGAAGATATGCCAGAACATATGCCAGAAGATATGCCAGATAGAATGCCAGATAGAATGCCAGATAGAATGCCAGAAGATATGTCAGATAGAATGCCAGAAGATATGCCAGATAGAATGCAGAAGATTTGCCAGATAGAATGCCAGAAGATATGCCAGATAGAATGCCAGAAGATTTGCCAGATAGAATGCCAGAAGATATGTCAGATAGAATGCCAGAAGATATGCCAGATAGAATGCAGAAGATTTGCCAGATAGAATGCCAGAAGATATGTCAGATAGAAGGCCAGAAGATATGCCAGATAGAATTGCCAGAAGAGAAGATATGCCAGATTAGAATGTCAGATAGAATGCCAGATAGAAAAAAAACAATGCCAAGAGATATGCCAGAAGACTATGCCAAGATAGAATGCCAGATAGAATGCCAGAGATATGCCAGAAGATATGTCAGATAGAATGCCAGATAGAATGCCAGAAGATATGTCAGATAGAATGCCAGAAGATATGCCAGATAAGAATATATGCCAGAAGAATGCCAGATAGAATGCCAGAAGATATGTCAGATAGAGTGCCAGAAGATATGCCAGATAGAATGCCAGAAGATATGCCAGATAGAATGCCAGAAGATATGCAGATAGAATGCCAGAAGATATGCCAGATAGAATGCCAGAAGATATGCCAGATAGAATGCCAGAAGATATGCCAGATAGAATGCCAGAAGATATGCCAGATAGAATGCCAGAAGGTATGTCAGATAGAATGCCAGAAGATTTGCGAGTAACAGAATGTATAAATGTCATGGTGGGGATCACACGAAGTAAAGTAATTTTACTTTTTTGACCCAGTGGATCCCAATGGGGGCTATAGATAGCCCACCGCTGAAAATGGACACATATTCACTGGGATGGTTGGTACATGTTGGTAGCCTCCAAAGAAACTTGGCAACGACCTGCGATTTGATGAATCCCGATAAATTCACGGGATTTTTCGTTGCCATCAGGCTGTGGGACCTGTTTTCTGCAGGAATTTGCATGTGTTTGGCTCGCTGGTTCCTGGAATTCTCAGGTAAGGATGGTTTCAGGGTCGACCTTCACAGGAATGCGGAAATATGAAAACATCCACAATAGCTGCCATGAACGGCTTGAAGAACATGGCCAGCTGCCTCTGTGTTGATTCCTTTAGCATGAAACGGATCTGGGTCATTCAGGCTTTGTAGTTTTTAAGTTTTTCTAGGACTCTCGAAATGTTATGAAATTGATTGGACGTATGAGAGTTTAGACATTTAATGCTGAATTCATATACCATGTATTACCATGTCATGTATGCTAAATGCAGCAATGCATGACATACTTGAATCACACTTGCATACATTTTGCCCACTTCGGGGTAGATGTTATATGTTGGTGAAGATTGGCATTGACGGTCCGGAGATGACGGGGGTTGTTTCACCTGGAAGGGCTTCCCATTTTCCGATGAGTTCAGTGGGGAAGACGATCGGATCACCATTAGCACCATCATTGATGGATCACCATCCACAAATCCATAGAAATACTGGGGTACTGGGGTTTTGACCCACCATTTGACTAGGTAAACTAAACGTTAATTTGGACATCACGCGGTCTATTGGACTTCTGCCCGTTTTCAGGGGGATATATGATATATTTCACATCATCCTCAGACAAGACAACCCTTTTTTGGATTAAAACTTGAACTTCCAAGAGTTGAATCCAGACTAAATCGGATTTTTCCACCATAAAAAAGGTCCCGCCCTTGTTTTTTTCGCCCCATAGGTGTGGCCCGGCTGCTGGACCTGCTGAAGAATCATCCCGCGGTGTCACAAGATCTGAAGGATCAAGTCTTGGGACTTCTGGCGTCTGCCGCCTCCAGCGGAAGTCCGTGAGTCAAAAACGAAAGCGGATCCCGGAGATCCGGAGGATTGGCTGAGCTGGTGACGCTGGTGATCTGGTGCTGGCTTAGTTTCACCAATGATAAGAACATAATTTGACACTATATATATATATATATATGTACATATATGCGATTATATGTAATTACACACATATATATATAATCAACTCAAGGTACATACCTGGCTAGTGGGCTAGTGAGCTTCGTTTCTGCAGTCATCAATTAAAAAATCAGCAGGATTACCCTTTGACTTGGAGGACTTATGATCACCAGCGTCCCATTCACCAGATATGATCCGTGGAATGATCCTCCAAACATATCCCTGTGTACATTTCCACTATGAAATGGCTTGACCCATGTTCCATTCCAGGGGATTTTTCTAACAAAAGGATGCATTTTGTAAGGACATTTTTCTGGTCAACCATGCCATTTTGTAAAAAGTGTGCTTTTTGCTGGGCGAATCATTTTGTAAGAGCCAACTTTCTTTACAAAATGAACTCGGGGCCAATCATTTCATAACGCAATTTTGGGTTCATTTCAGGCAGTGCAAAAAAGGGTATTGAAATCTTGGCCATGTCCAGGAACCAGGGTTTCTTCTCTAATTTTTTTGGGGTTCCACCATTGATGTGTGAAGAACCGGCAAGGCACCACTAAGTCAACCAACCAGAAAAGGTGATATCAAACTTTCTGTTTTTTTCCAAACTTTGGGGACTGGGAAAAAAAATGTGGGGTTCCCTGGGGAAAGTTGGACTTGTACAAGTAAGACATGTTTCCAAACAAACTATTTTTTAAGACACAAGCTTACAAGATGATTGGGTTTGGGGCCTGGAAATTAACTTGGGGCAACCATTTTGTAAGGAGCCGATTTTTGTTTTTTTTGGGGTTCACTGGTGTTTGCTGGGGAATCACACCAAGCCTGGTGCCCAACCCATTTTGTAAACCCCTAACCATGGATGTTTGTTCCCCACCTGCCAGGTGAGGGTTGTTAGATTTTATCGGAGCTGTTCTCCTCCTCCTCCTCCGCCTCCTTTGCCTCCTCCGCCTCCTCACCCGCCGCCTCCTCCTCACAGTCCAGATCCCAGTGGGCACAGCCGGACCTCCACCGCGAGCTCCAGATCCCAGTGGGCACTGCCGGACCTCAACCGCGAGTTGCAGATCGCAGTGGGCACTGCCGGACCTCAACCGCGAGTTGCAGATCGCAGTGGGCACTGCCGGACCTCAACCGCGACTTCCAGGTCGCAGTGGGCACTGCCGGACCTCAACCGCGAGCTCCAGATCCCAGTGGGCACTGCCGGACCTCAACCGCGAGCTCCAGATCCCAGTGGGCACTGCCGGACCTCAACCGCGAGCTCCAGATCCCAGTGGGCACTGCCGGACCTCAACGGCCAGATAGAATGCCAGAAGATATGCCAGATAGAATGCCAGAAGATATGTCAGATAGAATGCCAGAAGATTTGCCAGTAAGAAAATGTATAAATGTCATGGTGGGGACCACACGAAGTAAAGTATTTTTTTTTCCTCCTGGGTCCCTTACAAAATGGTTGCCTTGGGTCAGGGGGGTAAATGTGCAGGGGGATCCAAACATGATGTTTAGACCTGCGCCTGCCTGGACCATTACAAGGTATAGTCAAAAGGAGTTGTGCTCATTGGTGTATTACATTCAATGAGCTAGTGGATGAATAGAGGGATACTCCAATTGATTAACCAACAGGCCAAGAAGTATATACATATAAATTAGTGTTACAAACAAACCCTCCAAGCATCCATAAATATAGGCATTTTGCTCCCTCATTTTCTGTATTTTTCAGCAATTTCATGGGGTTACTGAAGATCTACCGTAGTTTTAAACTAGACGACGGATGGCCCGAGAGCGTAGAGGAGCAGAGTCTTCTGTTGTTAGTATGGAGAAACGCTTTTTACACACAGGCTCTTCTACACACAGACGCTTTTACACACAGACGCTTTTACACACAGACGCTTTTTACACGCAGGCGCTTTTACACACAGACGCTTTTACACACAGACGCTTTTACACACAGACCCTTTTACACACAGACGCTTTTACACACAGACGCTTTTACACACAGACGCTTTTTACACACAGGCTCTTTTACACAGAGACGCTTTTACACACAGACGCTTTTTACACACAGGCTCTTTTACACACAGAGACTTTTACACACAGAGGCTTTTACCCGCAGAGACTTTTACACACAGACGCTTTTACACACAAACATTTTTACACACAGACGCTTTTACACACAGACACTTTTACACACAGACGCTTTTACACACAGACGCTTTTACACACAGAAGCTTTTACACACAGACGCTTTTACACACAGACGCTTTTACACACAAACGCTTTTACACACAGAAGCTTTTACACACAGAACTTTTTACACACAACACTTTCACACACAGAGGCTTTTACACACAGAAGCTTTTACACACAGGCGCTTTTACACACAGACGCTTTTACACACAGACGCTTTTACACACAGACGCTTTTACACACAGACGCTTTTACACACAGACGCTTTTACACACAGAGGCTTTTACACACACAAGCTTTTGCACACAGACGCTTTTGCACACAGACGCTTTTACACACAAACACTTTTACACACAAACACTTTTACACACAAACACTTTTACACACAGACGCTTTTACACACAGACGCTTTTACACACAGACGCTTTTACACACAAACACTTTGACACACAGACACTTTTACACACAAAAGCTTTTACACACAGACGCTTTTACACACAAACACTTTTACACACAGACGCTTTTACACACAGACGCTTTTTACACACAGGGGCTTTTACACACAGAAGCTTTTACACACAGACGCTTTTACACACAGACGCTTTTACACACAGACGCTTTTACACACAGACGCTTTTACACACAGACCCTTTTACACATAGACGCTTTTACACACAGACGCTTTGACACACAAACACTTTTACACACAGAGGCTTTTACACACAGACGCTTTTACACACAGACGCTTTTACACACAGACGCTTTTACACACAAGCACTTTTACACACAGACGCTTTTACACACAGACGCTTTTACACACAGACGCTTTTTACACACAGACGCTTTTACACACAGACGCTTTGACACACAGACGCTTTTACACACAGACGCTTTTACACACAGAGACTTTTACACACAGAGACGCTTTTACACACAGAAGCTTTTACACACAGACGCTTTACACACAGACACTTTTACACACAGACGCTTTTACACACAGACGCTTTTACACACAGACGCTTTCTACACACAGGGGCTTTTACACACAGAAGCTTTTACACACAGACGCTTTTACACACAGACACTTTTACACACAGACGCTTTTACACACAAACACTTTTACACAAACACTTTTACACACAGACGCTTTTACACACAGACGCTTTTACACACACAGACGCTTTTACACACAGAAGCTTTTACACACAGACGCTTTTACACACAAACACTTTTACACACAAACACTTTTAAACACAGACGCTTTTACACACAGACGCTTTTACACACAGAGACTTTTACACACAGGACGCTTTTACACACAGAAGCTTTTACACACAGACGCTTTTACACACAGACACTTTTACACACAGACGCTTTTACACACAGAAGCTTTTACACACAGACGCTTTTACACACAAACACTTTTACACACACACTTTTACACACAGACGCTTTTACACACAGACGCTTTTACACACAGACGCTTTTTACACACAGACGCTTTTTACACACAGACGCTTTGACACACAAACACATTTACACACAGACCCTTTTACACACAGACGCTTTTACACACAGACGCTTTTACACACAGACGCTTTTACACACAGAGGCTTTTACCCGCAGAGACTTTTACACACAGACGCTTTTACACACAGAAGCTTTTACACACAGACGCTTTTACACACAGACCCTTTTACACACAGACGCTGTTACACACAGACGCTTTTTACACGCAGGCGCTTTTACACACAGAAGCTTTTACACACAGACGCTTTTACACACAGACCCTTTTACACACAGACGCTTTTACACACAGACGCTTTTTACACGCAGGCGCTTTTACACACAGACGCTTTTACACACAGACGCTTTTACACACAGACGCTTTTTACACACAGGCGCTTTTACACACAGACAAGTCCGGCACAAGTAAAATCGCAATTTTACCTCAGTTTTTGACGATCGACCTTCATTTCGTGCGAAAGGGTTGCTCCGGCACAAGTAAAATCGCAATTTTACCTCAGTTTTTGCCGATCGACCCTCAGTTCGTGCGAAAGGGTTGCTCCGGCACAAGTAAAATCGCAATTTTACCTCAGTTTTTGCCGATCGACCCTCATTTCGTGCGAAAGGGTTGCTCCGGCACAAGTAAAATCGCAATTTTACTTCAGTTTTTGCCGATCGACCCTCATTTCGTGCGAAAGGGTTGCTCCGGCACAAGTAAAATCGCAATTTTACCTCAGTTTTTGCCGATCGACCCTCATTTCGTGCGAAAGGGTTGCTCCGGGGCAAGTAAAATCGCAATTTTACCTCAGTTTTTGCCGATCGACCTTCATTTCGTGCGAAAGAGTTGCTCCGGGGCAAGTCAAATCGCAATTTTACCTCAGTTTTTGCCGATCGACCCTCATTTCGTGCGAAAGGGTTGCCGTTTCGTGACTCGCCGCCGGTACCACCCTCGGCCTAAAGAGAGAAAGATAAAGAAGGCGAGAGAGAGAAAAAGGAGAGAGAAAGGAGAGAAGATGTGAAGGTGAGAGAAGGTGTGAAGATGAGCAGATGTGAAGATGAGCAGATGTGAGAGAAGATGTGAAGATGAGCAGATGTGAGAGAAGATGTGAGAGAATATGTGAGAGAAGATGTGAAGATGAGCAGATGTGAGAGAAGATGTTAGATGTGAGAGACGGTGTGAAGATGAGCAGATGTGAGAGAAGATGTTAGAT